GGGAAGAAGAGAATTGGATGAGGCCTCGTTGGCCTTGCTTCCCTATTGAAATCCATCAGCCCCCATTCCCATTTCCCTCCCCCCATCTCTCTGTGCACGTACATGAACTCAGCAGCACAAATCTCGGCTCTTCCATTCCCAGCTCGCATCACGAGAAGCGTTTTCTTCCAGTCACGATGTGACCCGGTTTCATCGAACGGGATGCGATCGATTTAATGTCAAGGAGCGATTGGATATCTGCTGGACACTCGAGCCGATAATACCATGGCATTTTCTGGAGATATCAAGAGGGATTTCTTGGGATGCTTCTCTTGGATATATCTACAGACATCGCGGGTTTATTGGTACCCGACCGTATTTCGTGTGCCAAAAGTTCTCAAAAGGATTTGGTGAAGAATCCTAGATTTATCTTGTGCCATGGTTGTGGTAAATAGTTGAAGCGGAAAGCAGAGACGAGGCAGAACTAAAGATGAACGTTTCCATCCTTGTGTTGTCGAGGTTTAACGACTGAGGCCGTGAATCTTAGTGAAATCGCCCAGACAACTGTCTGTCGTCAGATGCTTGGGAGAGCACCCTGTTGAAAAGAAAAAAAAAAGAATGCGGAGGGGAGGATGAGCAGATTGAGCAGTGAGCAGATGTTCGCCATGAGTCATGTGAAATGCGCTCATTGAAATCAGGGTGCCAGTCCCCCTATCCTCCATGAATGCCAATGCAGAGTCCATTCAGGGAGCTAGTCGATGATTTATAACGCCCAAATCTAAGCAGGGTTGCCGGTGATGATCGGACGAGTTCATTTTTTATCGTAGGAGTGAACAGAATTCCGCCCTTACATATGAATGAGGGTGCCACTGATGCAGAAAAACCGCTCCAGGGAAATTAAATTGAAGGAGGGAAAGGTAAGGGGAGAAAAAGAGGGAGGGGGAGGATAAAAATAACTCGCCGTTGACTGGATATTGGACGGCAATTGTCTTCTACGTCTGATACATTCTCGTTGACTCAGGGGCATTTGGACGGCTTCCCCGGGCTTATTCGATCGAAGCCAAGCCCTCTGCTCACGACGCAATGGTGACGTAGCTGCATTCAAACACGGTGACGCAGTTTCTCTTGCCCCTACTACAATATCCCTTAACGAATCCTGGTATTCCTGGGCAGATTCTTCGGCCGAAACTCTTAAAAGGAAAAACCGACGTTTTTATTGATTTCGACCAGGAGTTTTCAACTGGTGCTGGTGTTATGCACCGATGACGGACGGCATGGAATTGCAGGAAAATTGTGAAGGAAGGGTAAATGATTCATCTGACACCCCCTGGAGGGATGAGTCAAAAGAAAGAGGCGGTAATCAGCCGATTTAATTTTTTTCATAGATAATAAACTTCATTAAAGGATTGATTTAAGAGTAAAAGTAGAGCCTTAGTTGAGCTCAGCAGCGAGGCAGGAGTCTCGAGAGGAGTTTTAGCTTTCCTTCTATGTATCAAATCCCTGAAAAGGTGATTACGGTTCCTGGGGAGAGGGAAACATGGGATGTCATGTAGAGGGGGGATATACAAGCGAAGAAGGAAGGCAGGCTGTTTTCAAGGGGTGTCATGACTGTTTGTTGCTTTTGTGGATCCCGTCACCAGCATCACTGGACCAGAAACCGACAGGCCCTTCCGATAGATCTCGTTTGAATGGAAGGGAGGTTTTCGCCCTCCCTCTTCCATGCCACGCTTCTGAATTTAGACTTGGTCGTATGCGTTGGGTTATGTGGGACCATATGAATGCATATACATGAAACCGTATTATACATCAATATGATAACACGCTGAGATATTTAGTCATGCCCTGGTTCACAGCCTGAGTCTGAGTCACAGTCTGAGGTGTTTCGTGTTTTCTTTTTTCCGGTAGAGAATTTTATTTTCGAATCTTCCTCCAAATTATCCACAGGCTTTCTTCAGCCCCCTTAATATCACAGAAAGTTGAAGTTCCCTGTTTTTGCTAACTCGGCATAATGTGAGGATGAGTCCGATGGAAGCACAATCTTGACAGTACGGGTTGCCAAAATGATTTCGACTATCTCTGATCGCCCAAATTTCACGCCCCGATTCTGTACTTTTTTATTATTATTAACCAAAAGATAGAGGTGAGTTTCAAGATGGAAAAATGGGAATTCCGTGTGGCTCCAGGGCGGGGTCATGCCATGCTCAGTGCGTCTTTCTATTATTACTCGAATTCGATCTGGGCCTGGAAGAAGATCGTTCCAAGCCAAGTTCCGATATCTTTCTTGGAATTTCCCTCATCCATGAATGCATTCCTTAGAAGAGGAAAGAAAAAGGAATTCCTGTGGCATTCCTGAAGCCCTTGCGATAATTGGGGGGAAAGGCAAACAGGAAACTCGGTTTTCGAGCAACGTAGAAAGCCGCTTCTTTTTTATTTTGAGAAATTCTTGGGGAGGCACGAGTGAGGCTTCCTCTATCGCGCGCCGAGAAGCCTATTCACAAGATGAGTCCCTGTTCATCATAACAAAGACCAGATGCTGCCGGGAGAATTCCCCCGTTGTTCCCCGAATTTACAGTCTCTTCTTAAACAGCGCTAATGGAATGGAAGAATGCCTCTCAGAATTCCTGAGGCTTTTTGGGATCCGGGGTTTTAGGTGGATTTATGTCTGTTTTGCAGTGCCAAGCATTCATGGAATGCCCCGAAACGTGGTAAATGAGAACTAGGGAATTCCTGATTTTTTCAAACCCTGTGCACCGATCGATCAGGCTTATTTATAAAGAAAAAAAGCTCTTGAAAGATATTTCATTCATGATACTTGTCGTTCACCTTGTATGGAAACACCTTTTTTTTTAAATATATTTTCATCCAGGAGCCCTTTCGAAGGGCCCTTCTTTTGCATGAGAATGATGCCTGATGGTATCGGGTCGAACAATTTTCTTTTTCCCTTGAGATTGATCAGGTGAAGGCGCACCATCAATTCTACCTCACTTTACCTTGATGGATCACTTCCCTTCCCCGGTTCTTTTCTTTTTTTGCTTCCCCCTCCCTCTTTCACTCGTCCGGTAGGGGTCATTCAGATGTCAAAAGGCGTGCCTAAAGAGTTTGTTGTTTCCTGCGACCGTTGAAATCGCCACCATCATCTATTTCCCTCCCACTTTCGTGATCGTTCGTTTTTTATCTATTTATTTTTCCCGTAATAAAAAAAAGACCCAACTGGACACTCGTGTCTAACTGACGATTACAGGGGAGAATATAACAAGAACCTTCTTTTTTCGTGGTGAGTGGGAGAGGGGAGTGGTAAGGCGTTGAAATGGTTTCACCGCGCACTTTTAGCCATCTCATCTGTCCTACGCTGCTCTCACATCCTGACCACGTCAGGAGAAACCTATTGACTGATCCACTTATCCCGTCTCCTGGAGGTATTTTCTCCCTTACTCCGTTGTACTCTGGTTCCGCCTGCTTGGGGATGTAAATTGGGCAGTACATCGGGCGAAGAGACCTTGTTGAAGCACTGGATTGACGAGGTGTGAAGCTAAGCTATGCTATATATTATATCTAAGCATATGGAGTGTGCAGAAGACACGTGCTTGTCAGAAACACCTGTGTGATGACAGGTGCCGATGTAACATGCCGAGTTCGGAGGCAGTTGTATCTTCTGTATTCAATTATTACTGCATGCCTTAGAGGGGCAACGATCCAAACGCTTGTTGTTGTTAGCCAATGCTGTTTGTTTCCTTCTCGAGGCTCACGTAGGCCAGTAATAGAATCTTTGTTGTAGTCTGGGTGGTGATTTTTCTAAATGTGTCGGTAACTTGTGAAAGACCCACTCTGATAATGGTTCTTTTCCTCCCCGTCAAAAACAAGTAAAAGAGAGCCAGGATCGATGCGCTTCCGTCGATCCTGATGGATCTACTTCCTGTGTGTGTGGAACACGTGCCCATTGAGAGAACGGGGAAGCCAGAGAGAAAGAGGCGATTCGGTCACGTGAGCGAGAGACCCTATTGTGTGATTGTCTCTCCTTGTAGCCCGATGGTCTCCCTCAGGGGGTCGCTATCCTCTCCTCCCACGAGCATTTTCCGGCTCGTTTCCGCAGAAAAACAATAAACTTTGGTGTTGCCAAGGAAAGGTCGTGAGATGTTCGAAGAAACTTCTGCTCTTTCCAATATAATTATTCTGTTTTTGTCTTACCGACATATCCTGAGCTGACCTTCATGCTTACATTTTCTTTATACAGGGTTGTGCAAAAGTTCCCGTACACTTTGAAAATGTAATTTTTTCACTGATCAACGGATTTTTGGCGATACTGATGTGTTTTTGTTTAATGCTACGGACTTTTTTTGATACGAAATGTTTTCATTATAGTAAATTTCAATCTTTATTTGAATTTTTTTCTCTGGAGCTATGACGCCTAAAGAGAATCGAAGCACTAATAATCGCGCTGTACAAGCAAGAGATGAAGGCTGGAGCGATCGCCAGATCTGAACCCGATCGATTATTCGGTCTGGTCGATCTTCGAGCAAAAGATCTCGGGAATCCGTTTTCGCAACACCGAGGCGCTGAAGTTGGCATTGCGACGCGCTTGGAATGAAATCTACGTCGAACAGCTGGCAGCCATCATTCGCAACTTTCCAAAGTGACTCCGAGCATGCACCAAGGAGAACGGCGCCAATTTTGAACACTTGCTTAGAATTTGATTCATTTATCTTTTTTCATACTGTTCTATGTACATAATTATTCAACTAACAAGCCGAGGTTAAGGTTTTATCGAAACTTTAACTTTATAAATAAAAAAAAGTGTAAGAGAAAGATAAGAAAGTGTACGAGAACTTTTGCACAGCCCTGTAGTTTTAATGTTGATTTCTCCGTGAAAATATCTTCATGTTTAGATTGTATCTGTTATTTGTATTAGTCATGGAAGCTTCATTAGCCAAAATAACGTCAACCCTTGCCGTAGAGGCATTTCTCTAATGGATAACATTTTTTGCAGTGATTTAAATCCGTTTATTATCCGCCTTCTTTTGCAGTTCCACAGGCGGGTAAGCTCGATTCCGTTCGCGAAGGTGCAGATGGAGACTCAGGAACTGACTGTGTTCGCACCAAACGACGAAGCCATGCGGCAGTTCGAGAAAGCGAAGCGAGCTCAGGGAGTTGATGTGGAGCTTCTCTGGAGCCAGATCTGGAACTATCACTTCGGTAAGCTCACTCTACTCCTCCCTCCTTCAGATCCAGCGGCATTGGCATCGAACCTCCATGCTCGATGCTCTTTGCGAAGCTTCATGCGTTTTCTTATGCTTTTGAGAATGAGATTGGGGAGTCCCATGTAGAAATGTCTCTGGTTTTCTTCAAGTGAGACTCTAACTCAATTCATGCATTAAAAGACGGAGCCTTGCAGATGATTCTTTCCGACGGCCAGAGCATTGCACCTGATAGTTATCAAAGGCTTAGTGCCTAAAGCTTCTGTATACTGGCCCTCGTTCTAATTGGAAACCAGCTCAAAGAAAGAGCATCGACTAACTTGGGAAAGAGTTTTGTATCAGAGGAGCCTTTCGTGGAGTCTTCTTTTCCCCGCCTTCCTTTATTTGTGACTTCCAGCATGCAAAGCTTGCATCGAGGATACTTCGAGTGATGTTTCTTTTTCGCTTTAAAACTTTTGCTGAGAGCTGCAAAGGTGAAGGAAAGAAAGGATGCTCTGACTTCAATGCAGTTTTATTTATAGCTTGCTCGAAAAATAAGGAAAACAACTACCTCTTGGAATTTTCGACTCCCTTGTTCCCGCCAGCGTTCCGATGCAACAGTTCTTTTCAGAACGTACTGTTAGTGCTTCGATCTGGTTTATTTTCTTCTCTGGAATTCATCTTTCAACTTCAAAGATTGTTTTCAGGAAGCGGTTTTGGCGTTCGTTCTCCAACTTAATTAAATCAGTACGCCTTGGTGATATCGTTTCATTTGATCGTGTTTTCTTTCGATCTACCTGCTTTAGGATCTGTGTCATTCTGCTACTATAAGGATCATCCAAGCATGGATTTTGCAATTAACCTGCCATTACTGCATGGAATCCGACTCCTTTTACTGGTAATCATTGCCAGTTGCAATCCAGTATTGCCAGTTGAAATCCAAGTGGGAATGCCATCTGTGTGGGCAATGATCTGAAACAGTCCTTCATTTCCGTTGAAGGGAATTTCTCACTACTGCGACGAATTCCATAGTGCATGCTTGATAGGAATGAAAGGGGATAAAAGGAAAAGGAGAAAGAACTGTCTCTTCCTTTCCATCATCCTGCCAAGCGCACAGAGCGAGGGAGGAAGGAAGCTTTGTGAAATAGAAAAGGGAAGACTTGCGCCTTTACCCTGACCTACTTTTACCCGTTCCCATTTTGAGATCGATCGAGGGAGAATGAGATGACGTTTCCCAGCTCCCTCCCACAGTCCACTGGCCAATGAAGACTGGTTCAGAATTGGGAGGAATATCTCCGCTTCTTCGTCTTCCCCTCCTTTCACGGAGATAAGAAAAAAGGAAGAGGATCTTGGAAGTAGCTCCTGCATGACGAAGCAGTTCCCATCAGAAAAAGAAGTTGGTCCATCTCGTCATGATTGATGACCCCGATTTCTTCTCGCTTCTTTGATCGGGTCAAGTCGACTGGAACGAAGCAGTCGAAAGTCTATTATGTCTGAAGTTGTGCACTCCTAGCCAGCATGCTCAGCCTTTGATCCCCCAGCATTAATTTTAATTTAATCCAGCGATAAATAATGACTTTCACGTTTAGGGAGGAGATAGAGACGTACGTGAGGATGCAGCCGCCCTTAATGGGTTTTCATTGTTGCTTTCGAAATTCTTTGGCTTTTATTGTTTTCATTTTTTTTCCTTCTTTAATCGTTAATTTTTTTTATCATATGCACTGTCATAATTGACCTTTTTGTCGAGTCTTACTTTATTTTTTTGCTAATTATTTATAACGTTTTGTATTCCATGTATGGGATATAATTTGGAAGATTTTAAATTTATGCTGGGTTATCAGGTATTCCCTATTCGTATTGAAGTTCGAGTGGGGAAATTTGCGGCATGTGCGATTATGTTGTGAGTAATGATAGTTATTGGTGATATATTTTTTTAACACTTTCAGCAAACTTGGCGATGACAACGGACATCATGGAAGCATCGATCTCGTCAGAGCTGAAGGGGAGTGCCCCGATTTGGGTGAATAAGGTTGAGCATTCCAGTGATCGACGGAATGAACATGACAACATATATGTGAACAACGCCAAGATCATCCGCAGGAACATCCGAGGCGGGTTCAAGAAATCCGTGGGTGACAACAGGATCGAACATCAGGTAAGTAGAGCGTCTGATCATCAACAGAATTTTCGACATGGAAATGTTGGGAGTGTCTTCAACTGTTGTCAAGTAACTATTCATTCACCTATCAGCTGCAACGAACACATATCGAACCGTAAAAGGATCTCTTCAGAGACAGCTGTCACATTACAATTTGTTTGGAAAAAGTTCGTAAGTGAAGATTTCTGGTCTTTAAAAATGGTGCATAATTTTTCCAATTTCGAAAATTGAAGAAATTTGACTATTTGTCTCGTCAAGTTTTGGCATAATTTCCTCGAAGTTGGAAACAAATGCAAGAAAGGGAACAATTGAGTTTTCCTTCTTTCGATCGCCGAACGTTGAAAGGAAGGGGGGGGGGGGGAGAGAAGTTCATATGGATCGAGATGGATGCAGAACGGCTGCGTTTACATCCAAGTGTCAGGAATGATGCACCTGTGTGCGAAAATGTGGGGAAGGAGCAAAGGAATCTGAGGAACTGAAGGTTCCATCACTCGTGTGGAGAATCAACAGTAGGGCAACGCCTGTTCCTTTCATTCCGGCACCTTCTCATCTCTCACTTTTCATCCTTTCGAGTGGGAAGGAGAAACCAAGGTTGGAATACTGAATATTACTATTAACTCCTTCGGTGCCTCCGAAACCCTGTTCTGACTGCCTCCCGCTCTCCTGAATCGGCCGATAATCACAGTTCTCGTATGATCTCATTGCATTCTTAGCTATAACGAGGATTGCACATCACGAATCTCGAGAATTTCCGTAGTTCCATTCTGGCAGAGTACGTGAAACGAAGCTGCTACGTTGAAAGCACGCAGGGGACAATGGGTGGCAGGGAAGGGGTAAAAATGCCTCAGGATTCCAAAGTGGGATGAAACTGAGGGTTTCATTCTGGAACCAAGGCTGTTTTAAAACGGCAATTCGGTCTAGTTTCAGTTCAGACTTTGGTCTGATTTAAGTTCCATTGTGCTCTTGTAGACTTCTATCACAGAAATATCCCAACTGGAACTGCAACTGTACTAAAACTGCAATATAAATGCTTCTGTACTACAGTTTTGAATCAGTCCAAATGTTCCCCTCTTGGCCAGACCTCGTGCACTCCCTTGGCGAAATCGCTGCAGAATCATTCCAATGTCTGTTATTTTTTTTGTAGGCATGATTATCAGCAATATCTTGCTTCTTTGCCTCAAGACCTGCTGCGTAGGGCGTTAACGAATTTTAGCTGAAGACAGGGACTAGCGAAGGAAAACATGAAAAAAAAAACTATTTCGAAGAAAAAAGTGGAAGGGTGCCATCCAAAGTGCTAAAATTAAATTTTCCTCGAAAGTGAGTTAATGGTGAAGGCCGTCTCTGAAACCTGTCAGCTTTCTCATAAAAATGGAAATACTGTATTTTCGTCAATGGAGCGTGGATATCTTAGCGGCCTTCAAGCCACGCAGCATTAAATCTTATTTCTCATTAAGTGAATGCGTAACTAAGGCTCATCTTGTCCGGAATCCTTGAAGAAACCAAAGTCTCATTAAACGGAGTGCAGAATTATGAAGAGAAAATGTCGGCATTCCGTGTTGTTTCTCTTGGTCCCGTCGTTTGCCATCAGCTGGAAACCCTCTGCGAGTAGCGCAAAGGGGGATTCCCTCCCTTCTCGTGTTACCTCGAAAAAAAAGAGACTCTCATTAGCTCCCGATGACATATTGGTGCTTTGTCGTGAAACAACAGGGGGAATCAATCAGAGCTTCTTTCATACCTCAATTCCATTGCTCCGTGCCATACCCGACATTGCATGACTGATGACGTCACGAAGCTCCCACACTTCTTCCGAGAGCAGCACGATCTGCTGTGGAACTTGTTTTTCCCTGCTCCGATCGGACGAGGAACGGCAGAATCTTCGGATGAAAGCTAAATCTGATTGCGTTCTAACAAGGCGGATTCTTTTATGTTGGCTTCAAAAGAATTTTTAAAAAAAGGTGTATTTCGTCTCTGTAAGGTATTAGATAAGGTAATTTGAGTGTAAAATCCCACATCAAAATTTTTTAGTTGCGAACATGAGATGATACTCGTTTGACAATCTTTCTCGACAAACGAGCAACAACAACGTGGGCGAAGGAGATAGGTCTATGCTCGCAGAAAATATGGCTAATCAACAGGGGATCACGAGAATAATGTCAGATTGAAAAGAAGGAAAGAAAAACAGATTGGTATGTGAAGAGGACATCGTTTATGATATTTCACCCCCTGAGGAATCGTGAGGATCCATGAAATGGGCGTATCGAGATGTGTCCCATTAATGATCGCCCCGTGACTCATCGCAGAATCCGTCGTGAGATGTCCCACGGAGGTGAGAAATGAAAAAAAAAATGGGCCGTGTGATATTTATCACCAATGTTGGTGATGAATGCACGGCGCTGTCATCTCCGTGCCTTCCCATGAAAACCGCTCTGAAATATTCTTTTGGAGCCCGATAGCTTAACCCTTCTTGAAGGGATGGCGAAGGTGTTCGTTGAATCCCTTCCGTTCACGAATGAAGCCGTCTGAATGATTTGACATGATCTGTGGGACTTAGCAGCCGTTCCCAGACGAGTTTATGAATGAGAAGTCCCGAGAGGTAGGCCTTTGGAATGCCTTCTTGGTGACTCAAAAGTAATTGGGCTCGTTAAATGTATCCTAGTTCAAAGGGAGTGACAGGAAGTGCCTGGTAATCGTTTGACAATGGGACAGCGAACGCTGTTCCTCTACAAAAATCCCAAGGGTTCAATTACTTTTGAATAGAATGTAAATGATCATGAAAGAAATTTCCACTTTACGTTCGAATCTTCTGTGGACTTTCATCAGAGAACGAAAGTTACGAGCTTTCTCGCTGTTGACCGTCGCTACAATCTCTAGAGTGGAATACTCGCCTTGGCAAAGATGAATCCCATGAGAACTCCATTCGCATCACCCTAATCGGTCACTTGACTCGCTTAAAGCCCCTTTCACCTTCATCTTGAAAGTTTTTGCGAATTCCGATGGATGCGCTGGCATGCACCAGCGCAATCATTTCTGCGCTCCTGCGTTCAAAGGGAATTCAAAGGGGAATGAATGCATTGGAATTTTGCATTACAATGAGGCCAATACAACTAAGCTGCACTTTCCTCGGCCGTACAATAGCTTTAATGTGTTAATGACTGCGCTCATAAATTATCGTGAATTGCGAAACTCGGTTCTCTTGCACGATTCATTTAATAAATCCTTATTATCGCATAATGAGGAAGTAATATAATGTGATGATATTTGTTGTCGCATGACTCGGAAGTCTTAAATAATGCCAAAATTGACCTAATGTATGGAAGGTGGGGGTGGTCGCATGGGCATCACTGTTCCTCAACAGTATAACAATGTTCTAATTAGGTGTGGACAATCCAAATGTGGTGTTCTCGGGTCATGTGCTGGTGCAGTACAAGGGCGAACTCGTTGGAATTCCTTGTTCTCTTACAGAAGGGCTGTTGAGCCACGTCCTTTATAAATGGCTGTAACGTAAACTCTCCTCTGTGTCCAACAGTCGAGACAATACCGATTTTCGGAAGAACCGAAATAAACCTTCTAGCACTTGAGCTGCAGGAGTGCAGCTGTGTTACTGCTTTCTCTTGAGGAAAATCGCGAAAAGTTTTTCGTAAAGTCGAAGCCCACCGCGAGGCCATCCTAATCATTTTCCCATAGACCGACCTCGACCCAGGGGAATCATTTGCTGCTGGTGGTTTCTCATTGATCTGGGGCTGTAAGGCATCCCTTAGACGCCATGGTAGGAGGAAAGAGGGAGTAAAGTATGATTCTTCGTGGGCTTTGTTGGAGAAAATGCTTCTACCATGTGTCTCGTGATGGGAATAATCGCGCAATTAAGAGTTACTGTTGTATTTTGCCCTTACGGGAGTTCTTTGTTCCACGAGAGGATTTAGTCGTAAAAGTGGAGTGTCTGTGTTGTGTCAGATGTTGCACGTGATCGACGAAGTGCTGGAGCCGATGCTGCCGGACCTGGGGAAGCCGGGCCGAGGTGGCAACCAGCAACTCATCAACCCGAGCGCCATGAAGCTCCTCAGCCACGGACGGGAATTCGGATTCAATCTCAGGTGAGACCATCGTGTGCCTCGTGGACGGTGGGTGGGGAGGGGGAGGGAGGGGAAGCATCGAGGAGTGTCGAGTGGAGTGTTGGAGGGGGGCGAGGTGTGTTTATCTTAATGGTGGTTGCCGGTAGGGTATCCTCTTGCCGTCATGGTGGTGGTTTCAAGGGATCCATCATGCTGCTTCATGAGGACCATGATTGATGAGTCGAGGTATGGCAGTAAATGATACTTTGATGAAGAATCTTCATGGAGACAGCTCTAGCAATATTGAGAGGATGAGTCAACCAAAGCTTATTATTTTGTTGGGAACCTTTTTCCTATTTGTGTTTTTCTTGGAAGGGGTTTCGCCCGACAATTTTTTTTGCTTTTGGTCTCGGTAGAACTCGAGTAGGGGCGAGTAGGAGGCAGAGCCCCATATGATGCCCATGATGACTCGGGCTTCCGTTTCTTTCACAGGAGTGCTGAACGAGAGAATGAACCCATTTATATCGTTTCAGGCTTTCGCACTTGCTCTCTGAAAAGGTTTTTGCAACAAAGAAAAAAAACAAGAAATGGAGAAGGACGCCGTGGAGATAGGCCATGTGTCTCAATGTGGGGAGATAAAAATCTTTGGACGGGACCCAAAAGGGAGTCGCATCCACATGGGCTTCATTGCCTCGTTTGGATCCAAATCTGATGATAAAAACAGCGGCGCTTGCCTGCCTTTTCTCTGTGAAGCTCCCCGCGTTTTATGGCCTGGCCTGCCGTTTTCTTTCATGGCGTTATTTATATTCTCAATTATTGCTCTTTGGTCTTCCGGGTCGCGACTCAAGTGATATCGTGGGAAGTGAAATATTCTGATGCAAAAAAGTTCGCTTGGCGATTAAGCTCTTCTTGAAGATGGTTCACGGCTTGTCAATTGCTTTGACATTAATGGCCATTGCGGAAAAACTGTTGAATGTAAATGCTGGTCTAACGCTTCTGGTACCAACAGGGAATTGTAATGAGAATCGCTAATTTTCGATTACAAGCGACAGTAATGACCTATATAGGTTTCTGGCAAGTATCATTGTCTCATTTGTTCAATCGTTGATCTGTGAGAGACCACTTATCTATACCTCGTAGGAATGATAGGCCACCTGACAGGGAGAGAGTGCTCCCGGAAACGGGTTGAGTGCAGACAGTGAGTGGCATTGCGTTACGAGGTCTGTATCGTATCACAGGATCTCCGAACTGGTTTTTTTTTTTCTTGCAACTTAGCCCTGTTTTATGCTCGGCCAATTTCAAGTGCTACTCTTCACCTTGAGATTAGGTGGTGAGATATATAATTGCACTTAGTCACACCTAATACGATTACCGTTAAACTGAATGCCGCGGTAATGAAATTTGTATCTTTAAAAGTTTAATAATCCCCATAAATGAGTATTGATATAGATGTGTAAATTTTCATGTGCGTATATACTATAAATACGTAAGTCTTTAATAAGTATGGATATTACATTATTAATAAATAAGTCTACATGGCTATGGAGGGCTAGAAAATTCCCTTATGCGGCAACAGAGGCGGCACGCTCAGTAATAGTTAAAAAGGAAAATATTTTCCCCGAAACGACTGCGGATGTTCAGATTGGCGCTGCGGATGTTTCTCGACGCGTTGGGGGGTTTCTCCTCGCTGCCTCGTCGGGTGGTGTCTCTTCTTTCTGCACTGCCTCGCTCGACTCTGGTCTGGACAAGGGCCAAATGTCATGGGACCAACGTTTACTCCTCTTTCTTCTACTTCTCCTTCGCTTGGATCGAGTTTTTTTTTTTTCTTGTGCCCAACGTGCTACTGTTTCGCCGCGACGTCGTTGCGACCGTTCTTAAGCCATTCCGTGATGGATCGTTCGACGAGGAACACGGAGGAAGCGGATGTGGATCGAAGAGGACAATGAGAGACGAGATTTCCTTCTGGATGTGACCCAATTCGACTTGATTCAATTCTATTACTCGGAATGGGAGACAAAGCAGATGGGGCCAGAGAACCGGGAGCGAGAACCGTCGTCCACACCTTTTTTATGACGTCATTTACTCCATGGGACATTGTTTCAATCCGATGGTAGGGGGGGGGGGGATGAGAGAGAGAGAGATGTTATTATTTGTGAAGGACTTTCTAGCACGTCGTAGCAGCAATGTTGTAAATTGGAAGGTGTGAACTACACTATATTACGAAAAGTGTTTGGACGCCACACCTCCAGTTGGCAGTCGAAACATCCATGAATGGGTTCAGATAAAAAGTTGGTGTGAATCTTTCTATTACTTCCGGAGGGTTTCAGTTTCAATACTTTTGACGTTGAGCACTTATCGTATCGCCATGACCTAGTGGTCAACCCGTCGCGCACGTCTTCTCTCTACGTGTCGTTGCGCAATGAGCTGCGAGCGATATTAACCACTTGAGGACGGGATTCATTTTGGTCAAATTGCCCCTCAGACGGGATTAATTTGACCTGAAAAGCGCATTTTTGAGATGTGGATTATATTCACTTACTAGGTGCATATTATTGTATTTTTTATGAATAATGATGATGACTAAGCCTTCGGGGAATCCCCAAAGTTTGCCGAATTATACGAACGTGTTTCAGTTCGGGAAAATGTGCGTTTATGAACGTCACTCGCCCTCAAGAGGTTAAAGGTAGGAACCGGTGCGAGAGGGCATTGAATGCTGGACACCACCCTAGTAGCATATAACATTGAATCAATGTTGTTTCAATGTTATATGCTACTAGGGCACTTATCTTAGGCATTTTAGGCTTCCGCTCACGTGCCTGTATCTGGAAGTTATGAAGCGAAAGAGTCATTTTTCATTTCTTGGATGCCTTTGCGTGCAGGTTACGTGCGCTGACTCCCACTTTCGTGTGTGTGTGAAGGGAAATAATGCATCGGGGAAGCCGTTTAGAACAAATTGAGCTCTAGTGCCGTAGCGTGGCCGCAGAGGACAAAGGCAAAATAGGCGAGATTGTACGCCGTAGTGTCGAACTATGAGAAGGCCTCGACCAGGGTTTACATGAATGAGTGAGCAACGCAGTGCAGTCCCATCATGGTGGACCCCGTAATGTATTATGTATGCCCTGGTAGGGATATCGATTGGGTGGAAGTAGGGAGGGGGAAAGAGGGAAGGGAACCCCCGTCCCCCTCATTTCAATGGGCTTTGTGAACCCTATCCTCCCCCTCAGGAAGGGAAGGAAAGACCTATATGGGACCCTCGTCAATACTTGCTCGTGGGAACTGGTACTGTAATAGTGTTAATTCTCCCCTACTGAGTGAGTGCAGGGCACACTAGCACTGAGTGCTAGAGCTGGTGTTCCCTGCTATGCCATTAGTCACGAAAGATCCCAAATTCATGAGTGATAAGGGCATTTAGAGTCAACTTCTACCCGTTTCCTCTGGAGCATGAAGCACATGAAAAGGAGTAATTGTGCGACAACAATGTGATAAGTCAGTGGGTTTGACATCTTAACCTTTAAGAGTTAAATTAGATCAAATACTGTTTGTATGGGCAGACCGATTTTTGATCATATCTGAACTCTATATATGATTCCATTATATATGTGCATTGGCAAAATTTCCAGGAACAATGTGCATTATTCAATTTCTGACATTGAGAAACTCATTGGCACTTTTCTGCAAAATGAGAGCACATCTATAAATAAAAAAAGTATCCTCTGCTCTAGCAGAAAGGAATGATATGAATCTCATGACTTTTTAAATTTAAATTCTGATCTCCTCCATTAAACAATTATTCAGAAAGCTGCCACAAATCAAGGGATTTTGATTTCAGCTCAGTAGTACTGTTTTCTTTAGCTGCATGGTGTGGTATAAGAATACTGAATACATAATATCACTAAATTTCTTAGTGAACTTCTGTAGCAAGCATCTTCTCTTTGCATAAAATAAAAGGTAGCCCACTCACATGCTGCCTGATATGTGTTATTTGTTGCCAGAAACATATTCTTCTCTTCCCATGGAAGACAACTGAACATTCATCATTAGAAGAAAGTACTTAGATACTTGCTTGTTATGCATGCCTAAATATACAGATGGTCACAAACTTAAAAATGGTGGTGACTCCCTGTTATGCATGGGATAAAAGAGGCAGAGTACTTTCCTTGGTAGGTTGAAAGCTTTTGTCCTTTATGGCCCTGGCTCCTTCATAGCCATGGAATTATGTCTCCACCACTGCTCCGGGATTGATTTTCAAAGAGGGAAGGGGGGGAAAAAGGATATCTTTCTCACCCCTTTCAATGTCAAAAGCAGCATGACAGCAAGCCCTTGTTAGCGTCTCGTCTTGTCTCGTCCTCATCCCATCCCCTGCTCACTCCCTGGAATATCATAAGTATCATCTAGAAATGTCACCATTACAGAATTATCTTGTGGCCGACTATAATGTTCAAGGTGAATCTTGCTTCTTGTTCCACTGTTTTAAGCAGGTGGCATTGCTTTACTATTATTATCACTTTTTTCATATTTGCCTGTGGCATGAAGGGCTTGGTTTTTTCTACACAACCTTTAAGTGAGTTTTAAATTAGTCTATCCCATGGTTGGATGTTTTTGACATTCATTACTGAGTCCCTTTTAACTATGCATAAAATTTCCATCTCTCAACTGCCATCAGAAAGGACAAAAGTATAATATTGCCATCAAAAGGAAGAGAAACAGGATCAGGTTTAGCTTAGCTGTCAATGAATTATATAGAAGGCAAGAAAATACCTAGTTTTTTTGCTTGATCTGTCCAGATATATGAAGACATTATTCATGAAGGGGGACAGTATCCCATCAGTCCTCCAACTGCCTTAAACTTAGAAATGACTCCAAACTCAATGGGACTGACCACTTCTTTCACTCTTTACATTTTCAGTAAATGTTATCAGGTAGTTAATGTTTGTTTTGCTTGTGCTTGAACTTAATTGAGTGGTGCTCATTTCTTTCATTACAGTGAATTTGATCAGGTGGTACTACGACAGGCAATGTCAGATGCATTCAGCAATGCAGGGGGGCACACATTCTTCCTCCCAGTGTCCGAAGGTCTTAGACGGAACAGTGTGAACAAGATCGATGCTCCCATCATCCGAGGTCATGTTGTGCCTAGTGCCACGCTGTTTTCCCGTACTGTGGATCCGTTTGTCCGTTATGACACGGCAGCTGTTGACAACCTTCGTGTCCAGGTCTCCATCACAAACAGCAGCGATGGAACTGGTTTGTTCTCTTTCTTCTGTGGAATGTTTTATTTTCATTCTATTGCTATTAAATTCCAAGATTAACTGATTGCCATATTTGCTGTATTCACCTCATGATGACATTTGGAAAAGGCACTTTTTGTCAATTTTGTATATTCCATGAAAACAAGCTGCAAACTTCCACCATACCAAATAATTAATGAAGAAATGTAATTCTGTTGCTAGTAAATAAATGAGTTGACTGTTGTCTGGATCAACAAGAATGTACAGCTACCAGTCTTCAATTTGAATGTATGCAAGTTTGCCTCCTTTAGAATTGGAAGTTTGATTATCTATACTAAATGTACCACATTTCCTTGCAGTGATTTCCTTACAGTACCTGTTTCAAGACTTGGTAATTTATAAGTTTAAATGAGGCCTATATCACTATTAACAATGACCAGATGAAGTCCAGGGTATTGTCAGTTTTGACATTACAAGGAATCATTGAATCACTGGACATGTTCCTCAATTGGTGAATACCATGCAGGTTTCCATCTTAATTTATCCTGCAGAAAGTTGGGTTTATTGAATTACGCTGTCAATTTTATGCCCATGCTATGTCAATGTAATAATTTTGGGAGCAAAATTAATCTGCCTATAAAACAAAGGAATGGAACTGTAGGTATCTGACAGAGATTGTCTCTGACCTTTCTACTGCTCTACTGTGTTCAGATTCTCAAGACCATTCTACAAGAATGCAATGACTAAATTGAACAGTATTTACAATTTGAATGTTGAACATAATAAGTCACCATCATTTCCATAGTGTATGATTGGAGCTGCAAGCCACATGTGACGAACAGCAGGATTTAATTGTTTTGACTTTGAGAAGTATTTTCACGAGGCATTCAGTTTTGGTTGGCATTACTCTCTGCTGGTGGCAGAATGAAGATTTGAATGGATAGCATCAATTTCCATTATATAAATACTGATATGTTGGATGGCTATTAGAAAGGTAAATACACAGAGGCATGCTCATCCAAAACTGATCAGTCGCCTTCCTTACAGTGTACGCAATCAGCCGAACAATAGATGGGGATCTGGAGCACCCAGAAGGCACTGTGATGGCACAGGTAATAAGAGCGAACATCCCAGTCCGAAATGGCGTTGTTCATCTCATTGACAGGCCCTTCATGGTCATGGACAAACGCCTCATCGAGCTTGTCAGTGTGAGTAGCTGCCCTAATACTTCCCATGTCAGTTCCTGAAATGGTGAATGTCCTGTTGCTGCTCCTCTTGCAACAGTGGAGTTTCCCAACCCTTTTAGGTCTCTTGTGATGGAAATATGACAAATTTATTATGTGTTTTTGTGTGAATTCAGAAAGCACCTTGAATGTACATCCTTTTAGCTGGAGTATGCATCCAATGTATCTTTGTCTCTTTGAATATTGAACTTGCAAGATTTCCTACATATTTCATGTTGGGACTATCTTGCAGGTTCTTTTTTTTTTTTTTACTATAACTGCAGGAGTGCCAGTAATGCCATAGTATATTTCTGTCTTTCAATTGTGTGATTGGGAAGTCAAGTTTCTTTTAAAAAAATCCTTTACAGAAAGACCCTCAGATGAAGCAGTTTGCAGACATGGTGCGGGACTATGCCCCAGAGACATGGCAGAGCATCCAGTCTGTGGGCTCTACTGGAGAGGTGGATTTTGCCACATTACTTGTCCCATCCAATGAGGCATTCCGCAGTGTGAGCCGCATTCGCTATGATGCCATCATATCCAACAAGGTCTTGGCACAAAAGATGGCCAGTCTCCACCTTTTGCGTGGGAAGGTCACTGTCAAGAGCGCTCAGTCTGTAACTATTGATGAGGTCAGTCATCCATATATCTGAGTGTCCCTTTGAGCCTAGTAGGAAACCTAATCTTTCAGGGTGGCCTGTACAGGTGATTATAAACTAAGTAGTATGTAATATATTTTTATGTACCAACTGCTCACTATAAGATGTGGCTTTTAATATCAAAGAGAAAAATAAACTCTGCTTTAACCTGCCAAACTTCTCAACAGGATAAAAAGCACAATGTCAATAGTCTCAGCAAAATCTTAGTTTGAAATGGCCCCTCTTGCTGTGACATAAGCCACTGTGAAAGAGCTGGAGACATACATTGTCAGTGCCTGGGACTGCCTGGTGGCAGTTACACATCAATGCAGCCACCTGTTAATGGTGCTACTGGCTCTGAGCTTGCATTGCTCCTGGAGGCAATCATTTGGAATAGTGATTTTCCTGAGGCTGTTGACAGGATATGCTCTTTTTTGTGATGTTTACCACCTATTGAACAGTTCAAACATAAAAAAAATAGTATGTACTAGTTTGGTTTCTTTTGAATCGCTATGTGTTAATTTTCTCCTTGATCGAAAGATCAATCTGATCCCCAGAAACTATCAAGAGAATAATTTTTGCAATTTTAGCAATTCATTTCTTTGGTATTGTTTTCATTAGAAGGGGATAACTATAGTCAAGGTTTCCAATGTCTGGAAGAGTTCTTTTTTCAGTCTAAAGTGTGACTGGTTAATATGGAATTCCAATCATTTCAACATATTTGATGCTATTGGTATTAACTGGATTCATGGATCATTTAAGTGTACAAGCACTGAGTGAATGAGATTGGATGAAGTAAATAGGACTGCTAGATCAGAGGCATTCTACTGAAAAATTATGCAAATCCTTTCGTTCCAAAAAGAGATTTTTTTCTCCTCCTCAGACAGCTGTGTTCATTGATGATGTGGAAACCCTTGTAAACCCTTTAACCTGTGTTAAACCTTTGCATAGTTCTTAAGAAATGTATTATGTAACTGTATGCTTCCTGTGAAACCCAGCACTAGAACATATGCTCTTTTGTGACAAGGTTTTGTTTAACAATAGCAGACTGTGACAATCTGCTGTTCTTAGAGCTAGTTTTTCCCAATTAGAAGTAAACAGCAATAGTTACAAATTGATCTAATAGTACCTGTAATATGGGAATAGTGCTGATACTCCAGGAACTTGTGGTTGCAATGCAGACTGAAAGAAGTTCTCCTTTCTTATTGATAGAAAAATAGGCTACTATTATAGTTCAGTGTTGAAGGATCAGCCAGCTTGCAGAATGATGAACTGTCCCAATTTACAGAAGCATCAAAATGGAGGGAAAAATTTATTTGGTATTCATTTTATCTGCTTCTTCCTGCATTAATGAAGTACCCTAGCTATTGAACTTGACAGGTGTGTCTGGGCATGATGTTGCATCTCCTTTGACTGGACAGCATCATTTATTAGGGCAAGAAAGTCCTTTGTGTATGTATTTTTCTCCTCTTGTAAAAATCCTGTCTGGGATTTTGTTGAGACTATACTGAGGGCTGGATTATTCTTCGTCAATTATTATCTATTCTTTGTACCATAATTCCTTTCATGATGTTTTTCCATCTTCTTTTTGCCTGTCTTGCATCACCTCAGTTGAGCTTGTTTCTGCCTTTGACAGGGACGCGGTCTTCTCTTTTGGAACCGGCTTCAAGTAAGAGGTCATGAACCGGTTCCTAGTTTAGAGAATCCTGTCTCCCTGTCTCTTTTGTAGTCTTTTCACATGAGTTGCAGATAATGTCACCTCCTGTCTTAACTGTCCATTTTCCATCTTGGTGCATGGTGTTCTGCTGGTGGACAGCATCACCCATGAAGAGTTAGAATAGGGATGTCTAATCAATGCAGTGATATGATGTCTATAACAGAATGGATGATATAGACTTATATGTATCACCCAAACCTGAATTCCTTTTGAAAATCAGAGTCCAATCATGAACAAGCATGATTACTCTTTATCCCAGGCCTAGTCCATTTCTACTAGCAATGGACCACAATATAGAAATTCACCCATGGCATATATATTGGCCCCAGTCCCTGATGAAAATTGGTCAATTATCTGCCTGGAAAGTATTGGCCATAGACACACATGGTCCTTGAATTACCTTCATGGTGGAAGGAGCACATTGACTGTGCTGGTGATTATTTTGAAGTTTGACAATAATCTGTAGTATAATGGTTGCAAGTTTCAGGACAATCTGCTTGTAACTTTTAATTTTGTTCCATGAAATCAGAAACCTTTGGTACAACCTTTGTATTATTGTAAGCCATTATTAGGAAATATCTGTTTATAAGAGATGTGACCCCAAAACCGGCCAATACCTGCCACACTTACATACTTACATATGTAACAGGCCGTTACTAATATTTGATCCACTGGTTGTTGTCATTACAAGCAAACAACTCATCTGCTTGCAATAATTTGTGATTGGTTCAAATGTCTTGATATATAGGTTTCAGGTAGTCACTTCACATGAGGTGAAAGGAAGAGGAACACAGGGAATTCTTAGTGATAGTTGGAAGCTTCATGTTATATTGGAGAGTCTATCAAGACTTATCCCAAAATACTACTGTATTTTATTGTCCACATGGACTCAGCCTGGACAAAGGGTAAAAGAAACTGCCATTTTAATTATTTCTGGAAGTTTAGTTTTCACTTCACAGAAACTCATGTTAAGAAGCTTGATTGTTTTCCATTGAGATAATAATGCTGGTTGCAATGCCATCATATTTATGTTTTGCCAATTCAGTTTGCATTGTGATTCTTTGCTTATAGAAAGAGCTTCATGTTTGAGCTAGGAAACTGAGAGAAGAGTACCTGCTCCAACAGATAGTTTTGAGGACTAAGAAAGGAAATAGTATTTAAATTATGTTGTTGAAACCATCTAGTCATGATATTGATTCCATGACAGAACACAAAAACTCTCATACTCCCATTCTTGAAAAGTTCTAGTTTTTCATAGATTCACGCAATTTTAGAGATGGAAAGAAGATATGATTGTATTTTGTTTGGTGCTGAATGATGACTTCTCTTCCTCCAGTTTCATGCATGTGGAGAGAAACAAAAGAATTGCCTGATGCTGATGTCTGAAAAAAAATTTTTATTTCTATTCTTTGTATAGTCTGCCATGTTGATTTCTGGACTTGAACCAGGATTCTGTTTTGTTGCAACCAGATATGGATTAGACCTATATTTGAAATGAAACTCCCCCCTTTCCTTCCCTTTCCTGGTAAGCATGTGCAGATATGGTGGGAGGAGGAAGGGGGAGGGGGTTGAAACAGACACAGGGCTTTGTGTATGGCTCTGGTTTGTGATAATTTCCTCGTAGCTATTGATTATATTATTGGTCTTCACAAATCTGAAGCATCAAGCCCCTCCCCCTCCCTCCCTCCCCCAATAAAATTCCTGGATCTGCCACTGCTGGTAATTCAAAATCTCATCCAGATCTGCTAAAAAGGTATTTTTCTGAAAGATACATGTCTGGTTGCCTATTTTCCCATCCTTTATGTTTCCCCTTTCATTCCCTTATGGCTGTGTTTGCTATTTTGCCCTAGTTTGTTTGCCAGGGATTCTGTACAGTTGCATGATTCAGCCATACCTAGTCCCTTAGCATCATAGCCTAATTGATGAACTATGGTTTGATCATTCTCCTCGAAATGCCCAAAATTTTTGCCTTAATGATTTGGATTTACAATAATATATCCCTGAATAATCTAGATTCAACGTAATCATTTCCTTAACTCCTTAACCTGTAGCTGACTACATTAATGATTGAGTTGCAGAGTGGGGAAACAAATTAAAATGTTTACACTTTTTGCAATGATGCCTAGAAATCTATGTTATGCATTCCCCAGATTAAGGATGCCTGAAAATCTCTATTGTATTGTCCTCTAAAAATGGGAATTCTTGGAATTCAGCATTGGCTCTTTGTTGTATCCAAACAAAGGGTAAAGCAGAAGATCCAGGGACTGTTGAGTCCAATTTTTGGGCATTCATGGAGAATGTTTTTTTTTTATTGCATCATATATTTTGCATGCTAGGAAAGCTCTCCTGATGTATGAGAAAATCCCCCCTTGAATTGTCTTCTTTTATGCCTTACATGCATGCGCTTGCCCTCCACGTAGTACATGATAGTTGTGTTGGCAGGATCTTGTTACGATTGGGTCTGATTGGTTACATGACTTACATGGGTTTCATGGAATTAGGTTACAGCTGCAGTAGTACTGGCCGGGGAAAATTTAATCCTTCATCTGGTGATGGATGATTCAAGGCATCTCATTGCTTCTAAACAATCCAGATTAGATTTTGCATCTTTTACTTAGTAGATCTTGGGCCGTATTAAAATCTTAAACTTAGTTTAAGCAAATTGCTCAACCTCGACCATACATTTGAGTGGGGCAAATACCAGCTAAGCAACTTGCTAAGAGGAAAATCGCACTTGAGGACGTAATAGAATACAGCCCCTTGTCTTAAGCTCTTCAAAGTACTGTCATTCTGTGAATTCACCATCTCAAAAAGGCGAGTGGTCAAGAGGCAGAGAGAAGGCGGGCCCATCCATCTTTCATTGCCTTGTTGAGATTCCAGCAAGAATTGTCATGTCTATGGCAAGGTACTAGAAAAGAGAGCTCAAACAATCGTTGGAAAAGCCATCAAATTGAAACTGCGGCTTTCGCGATGCAAGACCACAGAAGAGTTCTTCACTCTATACCAGACTCTCGAGAAACATGGGGGAAAATGCAAAAGAGGTTTACATGTGCTTTATGGATCTCGAAGAAGCGTACGCCGGCATGCTTAGAGGGAAGTTGTGGGGAGAGTACAGGAATATGGGATCAACGGTTAGCTACTGCGCGTCATTCGATCCTTATACTCGTACAGTGATTGCAGGAGCTGCGTTCAAGTGAACGGGATGAGCGAAGGACTCGGTTTCCGGTGTGTTGGGCTTCGTCAGGGTTGCGTTCCTGTTCCTCGTGTAGATAGGATCTGTATGTGCGGTCTGGGCCTCGAGTCGATCAAGGTAAAGGTATTTCCCTTTGCCGGTGATGCCGTTCTTTTGACTCGGTCTCGATTGAAGCTTCAGTTCGGTTCGACTGGATATGTATTGCGACCGGAATGAAGTTGAGCGTCCTCAGAACGCAGGTTATGGACCTCTCGAGAAGTCTTGTACGTGACGTGCTTGGGGACCCCACTCTAACAGTTGAAGAGGTTTAAGTACCTACGAACTACTATAGTAGTCTGGCTTTCGAGTGTTGGGCAATACGGAAAGATGGATAGCCGCATCTCCCGGGTTTCCCGCAGTTTTGCGAGAACTCTGGCGGGCCGTGCTTGCCAAATCTGACATTTCCAAGGAGACAACATTTTCGGTTTTTAAGAGCGTTCACCTCCTCACTTTCACCGACGACCACGAACTGTGGGTAATGACCGAAAGAATGAAGTCGCGGGTAAAGTTGTCTCGATGAGGTTTATGAGACGGATGGCCGGCGTTACGCGCCGTGAGAGGACGCAGAGCCCTGCCATTCGTGAGACCCTCCATCTCGAGCAGGTGTTTCTTCAAGTCGAGAGATATCAAGCTCGTTGGTTTCGACGAGTCTCCCTCCCCCCTTTCAGACTCCAGAGAAGAGTCTTCCATGTTGAAAACGACCGGCAGAAGACCAGTCGGTAGGACTCGCTCAGGATGGACTACATCACGAAGTTTTTCCTCGAGAGGCTCAGTATTCCGCCTGTTGAGTCTGTTGTCCAGGATTTGGAACACCGGAAAATGCTCCCCTGATAGCTTTGATCCATTAACCCAATAGGCTTCAAAAAATGAATGTATTAATGACATAAATCCCATGATACCTGGATTGTTTACTATTAATGACACTGGCATTATGCATTGAGATGTTATTTACCCCTTAGTGTTGACTTTAGGGTAGCTTAGTAGCACTTCACAGTGACCCACTGCAATTCACTGGCTATCGCTAACTCACTAACTCCTCTTCCCCTTTCTTTCTTCCCTCTTTCATCTTCTACCCTATTTTTTCCAACCCCTCACCCCTTCATCTCTCCTTCTCCCTTTCCTCTTTTCCCCTCTTCAACAATTGCAGATGTTGCAGGTGGAAACGGTGAAGGGGCAGAACTTTGTGTACTTCCACGCAGCGGGGGTGCCACACAACCGCTCGCTCTCAGTGGATGCTGGTGGAGTGAATGCCACCGTGACCATCCCAGACATTGGAGCCGTCAATGGTTACATCCACATTATTGACCACATTCTTGGCATCCCCTATCAGACTGTCTTTGACAAGATCAGCACAGATCCCATGATGAAGTGAGCCTTCTACGAAGCTGATGCCTAATTAGCAATAGTCATATAATAATGTGTTTCTATTGATGCCTTTAATTCAAACCATGTTCTAAGTTTACTGAACTAGTTATTCCACCATTTTAATGTACAGTACTTCCAGGGAATTCTTCCGATGCGTATGTAAAAACATAAGTCTGACATCAAGAAAGGATTCCTTTTGCTGCATGTCAGCACTGATTACTTCTGCTGCTTCTACTATATCTATTCCTGCTTTTGCTACTACTGTTTAGCATCTGAAATGCCAATTTCAGTCACAATCTTTGTGAAACTGCAAATATGCAAATATCTTGGAGGCATTTGTGCATCTGTTATTTTATCAAGATGGAAATATTTCTCAGTATCCAGTCAAGAGATAGAAAAATGATCCTGAGAATAGGAAATGTTACAATGATGTGTTAAGGAAACCTCAAAATCTTGCTTGCAAAGTGTGTCAGGTCTCTGCTTCCATAGACATCATTGGTACATTATGCTGTACCACTTCAATCAATTCTCAGAGTGCAAACTGCAAAAGGGTAACAGAACTTCAAAGTAACAGTTGCCTTCATGAAAAGACAACCAATTTTTCCTGGCTCAGTATTGTCATTTCAAGGCTTGATGACACCTTATGATACCCATGAAGGATTAAGCATGGTCTGGTCTGGTCATAGGAGGGAATTCTATACATTTCAAAAAAGGAAGTCTTAGATGAAAATCTGCTGTGGTGAGTAATATGTCAAATTGACTAAATGTACATATTGTTTTTATGCACTCTGATGTTCAGGCGGACATTTATGTTGGGTCGACAAGGCTACTTCAATGCAAAGCTTCGTGAGGTTAAGGAGAAGTTCACTTACCTGGTGCCCAGCAATGAGGCATGGAAGAAACAGAATGCTCAGCGTGCCACAGGCATGAACAAACTCTCTTCTGGGGACTTCTCATACCATGTGAGTTTTCTTGCCTTATTTTTGGAAAAATCGTGCTGAACCTGAATCTTAAAATGGGGCAAGACAGGTGACAGTTTTTTCTCCAAGAAGTACAAAGATGAAGGTTGATTCTGTGTGTTCTTGCACTGTAGGTCAATCAAATTTTGGAGAGGCACATGATCATTGGAGGGTCCCATGACATGGATTATCTGTCCCGGAAAGGCACCGTCCAGATGTCCCGTGGAGAACTCATTTTCAGGAAAATCCCCAAAGATCGTGAGTCTTTTTTTTTCTCTTTCTTTTTCAGTTAGACCTTCTTTGTACTTAATATTGAACTCCCCTGGCTATTTTTTTTTTTTGAGTGCCTCCAGTTTGGTCTCTGTTTTCTGTATTCAATTGAAAAGAGCAGCGTTGTTGAGAAACTGAAGCGTAGGTTGTGTTCCAGCTCTGCAAAACTGAGTGAATGTAAAAATTAATTGGCATTGATGGCACCCTTGCAAATCCATGGACCTCTTTGTGCAAGAAAGTTGGCATCACTAAAAATTATGAAAACCAGGATATCTGAATTCATTCACTGAAGGTTTATTTTGAACAGTCACTTAGCAGGAAAATAATTTCAAGAAAATTAAATTGAACCCTATATATATTTTAAATTCACTTCAATGTGAAATCAATGCTAATTGTTCATAAAATCAAGGTACAGTTCAATGTTTGAAGTTAATTCTCTCTGGTCATTTTCCATGCAAGGTGGAACCTGAATATAATTTTTTCAATATCCAGAATAAGAAAAGTAGACAAATATATGTGGTGGAGAAAGCAATCAGGATCTTCATTACAGTATCAATATTGATCTTGGTATTCTTCCTAGATAGAAAAATTAAATATTATCCCAGGAATGTTTGATATGATACAGTTTGATTATAATTGACTCATATTGCGCAGTCCAGGTACATAGTTTTTATTAATGGTATGGGCTGAAATCGGAAGTGTCATATGAAAACAGTTCCTCAGAGGGGTTTCCTGCCCTCTCTATAAGGTCCTCCTTGATTACACCTGCAAGCAAGGATTATGCCTCTTGGCCTTCTTGCCCTCTTTTAGTGACAGGCTGAGAGTAAAAGTTCCCAACACACATGGCAACCTTGTCAGCTTATTGTGGCACCCCTGTGTGCTGCAGCATGCAGGTTGAGAGCCGCTGGCCTGACAGGTACAAGAATGGCTTAAGGTACAAGAATGTACCTTAAGCTCCTTCTGTAGTATTCAACATCTGTAACTCCAGACCATTGATTGTGTTTGCACATTGAGACCTGAAAAAACCTTTGCTTATCTAGACTCTAATGAATGTACTGGTTACAGTCTGAGATTCAAGTTAACATTTTATTGGTTTGATTGGCATTGGTAATATTTGGGATAATTTTGCTTATTTATCTTATTCATGCTCCTGTGTCAGCACCCAGAGTAGATTTGTTTACACCCTGCAGCAGGATCAGTGGATGCATCACTTGTGCTTGTTGCTTTTAATATAGGGTGATTGAAAAAAATATGTAACTATTTTCTATGGAAAAGACAGCTTAAGTGCATACAAGCAAAACTGATGAGCTAGATAAGCTATCAACATTATATGGCTTCAGGGTGTTGAAGTGAGTCTCAGGTTTTTTTCAGTACTCGTGTCTGATCCATGCATTGTCCTGTTGCACAATTTAAAGGTGGATCATTCCACCCCAAAAGTTGAAATGATCTGTGCTTGACCACATCAGAATTTGATGAAAATTGGCAGGTATGATGGTAAGAATAGTGTAAAGTCAAAATCAGAGGTTTCCATGGCAAATGAGGACTGAGGTACAGGGGGGGCTTTAAATTTGGCCCTGGGGGTGAAATATGGCCCTCTTACCCCCAGGTACTAACCTCTATTTGTCCAGGAGAATTTGTTGACTCAAAAAAGAGAGGGGAAAGAAAAATATGGAAACTTGCTAAATAATCATTTTTAAGATGGAAGGAAGCCTTGCTCTTTCTCTTTCTCTTTCTCCTCATTTCTTGTATGTGGCTTTTTCCATGAGAAAGAGCAAGGCCTTATTTTTTTAAATTACCTTGTACTTGTTGTTGTACATTTAAGGTACAAATGATTGACCCTGTAATTACCAGAACCCTTATGGTCACATGTTCAACTCTGTTTCATTTATTCAATCCTGAAGAATCTCTTCAAAATACTTTGCCTAATTACTATTGCATGTCTTCATGATAATACACTAAGGCCACATTCTCATAGCACAGCCAGCACAAATGGCTACATTTTTGTTTCACAGTCCATTGGACCCTGAACAGTAGTTACAGGGTTGATTAACATGTTTCCTTATTTTTGATTCCCCTCTCTTTTGCCTTAAATTTGAGTCATCACAAATTTTCTTGGATGAATAGGCAGTTATCATCTGGAGGAGAGGGGGCCATATTTTGCTCCAGGGCCAAATTTAAATTCCCTCTCTTATCTATGCCTTCATTTGCTATGTAAACCTCCAATTTGGATTATGCACTATTCTCACCATCATACCAATTTTAATTAAATTCTGAATGGCTGAGCACAGACCATTTACATACTTATTGTGGAATGATCCACTGGTAAATTGTGTAATGGAACATTGAATGGATCAGACAGGGGTACTCAAGAAAACCTAAGACTGTTTTCAATGTCTCAATGCCCAATGTTAATGGCTTATCTATCCAATTTATCATTATTGCTCACTTATAGGGAGCTGTCTTTCTCCCATACAATATGGTTGTGTTTTATTCAATCACCTTATACATTCTCTTCAGCTTTTAATGTTTGAGTTTGTGCTTTCCCCAGTCATAAATCATTGTTTATCCTTTGGTGTCTGCAGGTATTTTCTTTTGATGAGTCACTGATTATTTAATAGTCTTCCTTCTTCATTGAGGAGATTGTAATGTTCCCTTATTTTAAGTACAGGGAATAGCTGAAGCTGGTCATAGAAAGAAAGTCAGAGCTTTTAACATTCACCTGATTTAGCAGGCCAAATAATGCCCATTCTTCATCCATCATTGTATGCAATAGATGGGGAAGTTGCTGAACTATATTTAAAATTCATTCTCTTGAGATGAGCCCAAGTTTTATTCTTTCATAATGGTCATGGAACAACTGGAGACTGAATCAAAAACAAGAGAAGGATATCCTAAATTAGACTTGTATTGAGGGTACCATTTTCATCCCTTTTCTAGAGAGGAGAAAGAATGACAGCTTTGCAGGCATTGGTAAGGAGTCGTTTGCACTTGGTCATACCCTGCACTTGACTGGTGTTGTTCACCCCTGTTAATAGGCTGAATAGAATGTTGTTTCACCTCACACACTCTCACTGTCACTCTTGGTTCATGAGAATGGGAGGAATGGGTCTTTGGGTGTTAGCCCATTGTCCCCACAATGGACTCCTCTTGAGAATGACCATACTTGCAGGTATTATAGGCTTGTCAGTCTCATGGGCTTACTGAGGAAAATCATGAGAAGCATTCTATGGGAGTAAATTCTGGAATTTTCTTGATGGCCTAAATAGGTGGCATTTTTTCTTCTTAGTATAATTTTACTTCTTGGGTACAATCAATAAGTGATTCCATCCAAGCCTTTTCTGTGGCTTTCCATTGTTCCTCAAGAATATTGACTCAATTGAAGGTATGTGGAATTATTGGCTGTGGTGAATAACTGGATAAGTAAGTAGATGTCAGGAAGAGAGCACTGGACAGAACAGCTGATAGGGACTTGGAGCCTCTATATACTGGGGTAGAAATGAGTTATGAAGTTCATTAAGAGTGAATGAAAAGTTTTTCCCATTGGCCATGGAAATGATGAGTCTCTGAATGTGTATGGTATGGTTATGCTCATCGAGGCAAATCAGAAGAGGGGATTCAGGAACTAGCATTACTTCAAGTTGCAGATGCACTTCTTTATGTGTTGGGGTGTATATTGGTGGAACATGTTTTGTGGAGATATAGTGGCTGTCATGTATGGCTATAAGAAGAGGTTACAAGTCTTCATAGGCAAAGCAAGGAAGATGTTTAGCTGTAAGTAGTTAGGCAGTAGCTTGTAAAAATGCTCAAGCTTAAGTTGGGATATCAATATCAGCAGAAATATCTCAATGTCCCAACTCATAGCTTGAACTTGTTCTCAGACTCTTTGAATAGTCCTACTTCAAGACCCCCACTCAGGAATAGCATACATTTATTACACCTCTATAGGATTGCTATACTCTGACTTTTCTTGAGAATTGCCCTAATCCCAGAGCCCCCCTGAGTGTTGCCCTACTCCTATTCTCATGAACTCTGCCTCATGCAAAATGGCTTGCATGATTTTGCCATGTGTAATACATTTTTGAGTTTGAATGATGTATCCTTGGGGTGCAGAGAGAAAAAGTTTGCACACATCTGTGGGTTTTGCAGTTTGAAAGAAACCAGGCACATTTTTTCTTCACATTATCAAAATATATATTTATTGATATTTTCTGTGTTGCATAGAGGACCAGTGTTCAGCTGACACCAGGAAAAATACTGTTGGAGTAAGATGTTACAAAGCACTAAGGCTGATTTATGAGAGTCTCAGAAGGGATACTCCTGAGCTGCACCTCATGAATAAGAGCTCATGGCTATTCAGGAAGATCCTACTGCTGTTCTCTGTCAGCCATAAAGAAGTCAAATCATCTGATGATACCATGTAACATAACAGTCATGAACATTTATTAAAATGAGAATACTATGAGACCTTAACTTTGGCAGTGTAATACAGTTGAGGCACTGGGAACTTGGTTAGTGTAGGAAGTAAAGGAAAGAAAAAGAAGCAATTTAAACCCTCATAGACCACTGTCTATGTATTAACTCCTTGTGCCGATCTCTATCTGTGCATAACACTGACACAGATGCCATATCACAATTCTCTCCTTGAGGAATAGATCCTTCTTTCAGTCTCTTTGATTCTTTCATGCTGATCTCATTTTTCGTTTACTGTTATTGAGAGTAAAACTGCATGCAACAACTCTTTTGTTTTTTCTAAGAGGGAGGGAAGAAAAGGGATGTCAACTATCTGGCTTTTTTGTTGTTGAAACCTTTAATGAAGTTACCTGTCAAACTCATTGACAAACTGCCTAAAATCTAAAGTGCTGCTACTATATTGGATACAGGAATGATAGGATACAGCTGTTTACTTCTGGAGTGCCTTGCTTTGCTTGCTTGTGTGCATTGACACTGCATCTTGCCCACCAAGTGATATCAGTTCATGTATTGACCATAGCAGCACTCTTGCAGCTTCACCAAATCTGGTTTAAGATAGGACTTCAGATGAAGGATGTTTTCACTATTGTAAAAGAACTGATTGAGGGCAGTCTGTAAAGTTGAGTTGAATTGAATCATTAAACATGGAGAAGGTGCTCACTGCCATTTTTTACCTGTTGGAAAAAATCCCTAAAAGCCAGAGCAGTGTAGGATGGTCTTCCTCTCCTCCATTCTTATGTGATTTAAGGTATAAATCATCTTGCAATGAATTCCTAAGTGATAGTTCAATCTAACATACTTATGCTGTCAATCTGCTAGCATTGGAATTGTTTGTGTATTTTTTTAAATTAGTGTTTGTGGGCACACTGAGATTTCTGTAGAATAGCTCTTACCCTTGTGAAGAATGTTCAATGTGTAAATAACTTTGACATTGTTGATTTTTGAGCAATTACTTTTATGGTGAAATGTTCTTTCTCAACTGGCTGCTAGCTTGCTTGGATGCAGGAATCTTTTGTCATTTATTGTGTTGCAACTACTGATGTTGCTTTCCTGTTGCAGAGTATGAAGTGGAGTGGCATGGTGAGGTGGCACGTGTGGTGCGTCCCAACTTGGAATGTACCAATGGCTACATTCACGTGATTGACAATGTCCTCATGTCAGACAGTGATGTGACAGTGAGTGGAGGGATGATGTCATCTGCCCTCACCAGTCTCATTCTTCTCACTCTTGCTGCACGACTATTCCTGTAGATGCCCTTTCACATTAAGTCTATGTGACTCAATCTCATTTCCAATACACTCCCCCAAGCAAACATAATTACCAAAGATTAGAAGAGGAGGATTGTGAGTGAACATCTGAATCTCAGTGTTGTGCGATTCATCTTGGCTTCACTGGCAGGCCAGTTTCACCATTAAAGAAGAAGTAATGAAGATTGTGCTGATGAAACCCAATCTTCATAGCAATGCCTCCTAGGTGTACTGCCATGCCCTGCCGAGGGGGGGCAAGACTCATGATGAGCCATCAAGTGTGTGTACATAAATGCAAATGAGAGAAACAGAAAATGCTTTTTTTCCTTCTCATGGTAAGCCATGTACAAATGAGAATCTCATACATTCAATGAATATGGATGACATTCACTGCTGCTTCTCTCCTTTTACGTTGTTTTTCCTCAAGTGACCCAGAGGGAATGAGAGTGTCATTTTTTTTTCATTGCATGCTCTAGTCGTGATGGACATTTTCCATTCTTCCGATATTTCTCCCGGATATTCCAGTCTACCCCAGTCAAAGTCCCGTTGCTTTTGTGTAGTTCAAAACATGTGAAGTGTTGAGTGTTTTTTTTTTCTAAGATATGTGCTATTAGATGGATCTAAAAAAATTGTTTACCTCCAATTGTATGTGTGCTGAATATCAATTGGAATGAATGTCAGGATTGATCTCGTCAAAGAAGTTGAGGTACGGTTCCAATGCTCTGCTTCTTTACTTATAAATAGCCTAGGAAATTTTTGAGATGGTAATGGTAATTATATCTGCCATTTATCTGCTGTCAAGTTTTGCAGGATCTTAAATCTTCCTGAAGTGGTTTCTGTCAGACATGAATACAATCGGTGTTAGAGTGCTTGGATGATTGTGGAGGGACCCGCATCAGGGTCTTCACACTGAAGATCCTAAATTACAGTGTGAGGCATTTTGTGATGTTTCATGAACCTTTGCCATCAAACATGAGCTCATTCCAAACAAGACTGCCCAGAGTTGTGTGTGCTTTGGCTTATTTTGAATGCAGGTGAATGTGTTTGTGCTCCCTGAGTGATTTCTCAAATGTATGGTCTTGCTGGGGTCAATGAAGCCAATACAAACCAAGTCTGTGTTGAGTTCCTTTCTGAAATGCATAGGCTGCCCTTCAGCACCAAGTGGAATCAAAAGACTGTGGATGGTGACAAGAAATGCTCCTTTTGTTTTTCAATGAGGTTCTCCATGAGTACAGTACTATCAGTAAATGGAATCAAAAGGGTCAATCTGTGTATCTCCCATTCGAAAGTTCCTTTGATTCCATTTTCAGTTTTGCTTACAGCGGAAAACAAGTATAAAGCTAGGATTAAAAAAAAAAAGAACATTAAGATAGAATATGTGAAAACTGTCAGGAAGATGAATCTGCAGAAATCAAGTGTTTCCTCCTGGCATTCAGCTGTCGCCGAGTTATGTGCGAAGCAACTTATCATTTCCTTCGGTGATTTGCAACTCGTAGCTGTTGGGAGAGTTTGAGAAGCAAGATTTCCATTCCTGGTAAAATCCGGGGAAAATGCACTCAAATCCATAGCGAACAACGCGGTAGATATGAAGATTACAGTGACGGACTGTGCAATCACGGAAAGGTCGAAGACGAATTTCACTTTCTGTCGGTCTGCTCTGTACTATACTTGATACAGAAACTCCCATATACCCGGCGATCGTTACCAGCAGAAATTTTAATTAATAATGCAATCATCGAATACTAATACGATCGAATCTGTGGTGAAATTCCTTAAACTATTGGAACCAAAAATGCTAAAAGAAAGGTCGAATATTTATATAATAATGTGTACGACATTGAACACAATAAACTGATTGTCGTTGCCAGATTGTTTTAATCGAGAGGGAGACGAAAGGTCGAATCCATTTTTACGCTTGTGAATGTTAACTGCATTTTGCTTCGAGTCAGAAAGATTGGCATTACGGGATAAAACTCGTATTTTTCGTATCAGTCGTCGATGCGTTAATCACGAATATGGGAATTCTAGATGATGTACGCAGAGCAGATCATGTTGTCTGAAAGTTCGTTCTCTTCGGTAAGGGATTTATGCAAGGCATAAATTACGTATTAGCAAAAAATATCTTGACTTAAATGTCCAGTTTTCCGCTCGTCCAACCTTAGAAGAAGAAACGGACCGAATTCGCGCACACGCGTCAACATTGCATCGGGAAAGCCCAGCTACTTTCTCGAAGTCATTCACTACGCGTGATTAGACATGCATTCCATACAGATTTCTATAGAGATCCTTTCCATATGGGGAAAGGATCTCTCATTCTGCTGGGATGGCCAAGAGATTGCAGTGTCTAAGAAGTCATCGTTGAAGTGTGTTTTAAGGGAGAGAAGCCGAAGTTCTTTCCTTGATGAAGACTCCAAGAACCAAAAGCTCAGCTTTTTACTCTTTTTAAATTTACTTTCACTACATGGACCTTTGACGATATCAACAGCTTTGGCGGGCTTTTTCTCTCCTCTTTTTTTTCAAATTTTCCGTTCTCCGTCTGAAAATTTCGCCAAAGCGACATGGACGCCTGGATTACCATAACCATGTACGGCAGAGGTACTTTCCACGGACTCTCTATGGTTCGTGTCGCCCGAGCCATCTAGCGAGACTGCTAAGCACCAGCGCAGATCATGGCGCTTTCCCTGCACTCTCACTGTTGGCGTGTGATCGGCCGGCAAAAACTGCTTTCATGGCTCCCTGCGTTTTCGCTCGGGGAAGGGTGTTTCGATCTTATCGTAAGGTTTGTATGCATGACCTTATTCCGGACGTGGCTTGAATTCAGATTTTTCTTGTTATTCTGACATCATTTGCCTCATTTTTAGCCATGTCTTGCTCATTTTTCTGACTGTGCAGAGGCCTACATGCTAATGAAGGTATGAAAAGAAAAAGGTATTGTGTCGGTCTTGAATGAAGGTTTCACAAATGGTGGGACAGGTGGAAGATATGAGGGAGAGTGAAAAGCAAATGCAAACCTTACCCACCTTGTACCCAGTGGCAGCTTTCCTCTACAGACATATTGGGTCAGATCTCTCCTGATCGAAACACTTGCCAAAGTAACCGCCATTTTCTTCTGGATTTTACTTGGTGATGTAGTGAACCCCTCGGGGTCACAGAATATGTGGCGAGAATGCTCGCCACTCGTGGGGATCAGACTCGAGGTGGTCGGTTATAATCATAGGTCCCGTGTTCGGTTGAATGGCGGAAGTGCCATAATCTCCCATTCGATCTGCTGGCTCCAAGCTGGGAAGGAAGGTACATCCTTATGTCAAAGTCAACAACTGCACGATTTATTGGACAATCAACAGGGAAAGTATGGAGGAAAAGACATGAGGGAAAACTGTCTCACAAGCAGATCATCATTCGTCCAAGCTCGTTGACAGTTTTACCTGCTGATCGCTGTCCACCGATCACGATCGGGTCTGACTGTCGACTTGGGGTGGATTCACAGCAGTCCACTGTGTCGTCCAACTCTGGCATGCTATATGCTCTGTGCCCATTGAGCTAACTGCAGGGTCGGGACAGACTGTGCACTGCCTTGAGATGGGGCAGGATGAGGATGTGGAAAGGAAAAGTGGAATTCAGCATGGAAAATTGGAGGACTCTTCCCTGTACTCTTTACATCCACATAGGGCACAAGGAGGACTCCACAGTGAAAAGAATGCCAGCTGTCAGAACATACCTTGGACTTAGCAGCTGGAATCAATGGAATTGCACTGGAGAGGGTGCTGCAGAAGGGTAGCATTGTAATGGTGGGGCTGTCAGGTTTACAGTTAAGTGCATACCCCCTAGAGATCATGTGTTGTCCTTAAATTTAAGCTAGGTTAGTGTTTATGATAAGTAAATGAAATTCCAATAGATGTTGCATGTTTCCAGTTGAACTCTTCTGAAAATATGGGAGACTAGGGGAGTGCACTTTCTCTAGGCAGTGCATGCTTAACTGTTACTGGCTAGCAGGCAGACAGGGATTTGGTGCATGTGCAGTTGCATAGGTATGCTGCATGATACACACATATGCTTTAGAGTAAAGTTGAGGTGGCCCTTGAAGAGTGATTACAATTACAAATACATCCCTGTGCCCTCAAGGCACAGGGATGTTGAAGTGCACTTTGGTAATTATGACAGGATGAAGTGTTTTGATCACTACAAAATCCCTAAATTGTCAATTTCTTTGCAATGCATAAGGAATTCTTCAAAACTTTCTGGGAAGCTTCAGAAATGACTGGTTTTCAGTATATAGGCTAGGTCAATATAACAGGGCATGGCAGGAATTGGAGGACAGCAATAGGAATTCCTTCCAAGACTGTTTGGAACTCACCTATCAACTTGAATTGACCTTGTAATACCAATAGTTACCTTTATGGAAAATGGTACCAACCATCTACCCATTTACCTTATCTGGGCCTACATTTCACCACAGAGTCCCATGAAGAAATTTGACTCGATGTCAAATTAGACATTTCTCTTGGTTGATTTCCAGATGGACTCAGCATGCAACAAACAGACTTAGCCTTTTTCTGTAATAAAGTCTGTTCAAATAGCTTAGGCTAGCCTCTTTCATCGCAGGACAGATTCTCCATGAAACTTGACGGATTGGGTTAGACCCAGCATATATCCTTATATATTTAAGGATTTTTGAGAAGATAGCATTTCTTTAACTGAGGTCACAGCTGTTATCCTTAAGAATAAGCAAAAGAGAAACTGGTAACATCTTTCTCCCTGTTCAATGCTCCTTCAGGTGTCGTATTGAAATATTAGAAGATGCCAAAGGTATGGGGAGAGTTGGAAGTCCTTGATGCTGAGCATCTCCAAGGGAACTGTGCAAAGCATTATCCTCTCATGGAGGAAAAGAGAGAAATTTCTATTGGCAGATCATCAGGTGAGATGTCGTGCTGGATAATATCTAAATGATTATTTATTATTTTATTATTTAATACCAATAATACTCATCATAGGCTCAAGGGAGCATCCACCCCCCAAAATTTTGCATTTTCCATTCATTTATAAATGCAATTTTATGCATGTGTTAATTTTTTTAAGAATATGAAGTGATTCAGCACCGGCAAAGTACTTTGGTACTTTTGCCATACCTTCAAAGTGGATAAGGCTTTAATAGAGGAGAGCAGCACTCCATGATTGAATGGAAATGACGCTCGTTTTCTCTGACGCCCGATAATCTACCTTCGCGTTTCGTTTCTCGTCTAGATTGCGACATCGTCGTCGACAATCGGCTGGTGTCGTCGAAGCACTGCACCGTGAAGAAGATCGGGGAGTCGGTGCACGTCCACGACCACAGCACCAATGGGACGGTGGTGAACGGGCGCTACCTCGTCAAGAGCGGGGGATGCCACCTCTTGAAGCACGGTGACGTCATTCACGTGGTTCATCACCGCCCAGGGAAAGGAGGAGGTCGGGATTTTTGTATATTTTTTTTTGGACTCGAAAATCAGAATTCTGCAGTCGACTTCAGGCAGCGTTTAAAATGTTCCCGTATTTGCGCATTCGCCGCCTTTAAGAATGCGTTTTGCGCTTGACGAGATTTTGCTGCCTTGTTTTTTGATGGTCTTTGAATTTTGCGGCCGAGAGATCTCAAACTTCCCAGTCGGTTCAGCTTGCGTCTTTTCCTTTTCCGCACGGTCGACTCGGAATGTGCAGAACTGATGCCCATAGGCTCGATTTATAGTTAAGGTAAACTTACACTTTCGCCTTTAAAAAAAAGGGAGGGGGGGGGCAGGCCTATTAGCTGCATGGGGAAAATAGGCATTTCGTTTTACAGTGAACTGAAAAAAAATTAATCCATGTTTCAGGAAAGTTCATTCGTTTTAGCAGGTTATTCTGATAACCGTTATTCCTTCGTGCCATGTTTTTCATAATGTTTTCTCATGTGCGATGTTTTTCGTGGTGGAAAAATCGGGACCGTACAATGGTGCCGTTACCCCTTCTTTCGAACGTGTACTTTTTTTTTTCGACACGAGAGAGATTGTGAATCGAGATGCGAACGAGGGGTTTACCGTCCCTTGCCCTGCTCGTAGCGAAATCCCACGAAGTCGTTCCCGGCCCGCGGACGAGATTCCGCAAACTAATCGTGCCGGTAGGCCGCAGTTGGGAGATGAGGCCCGTCGGCGCGTGGCACGAGGCGGTCCGTGCGGGATGTGCGTCGTGTCGGGAGCGACTTGCGGGTGAGCTCGGGGCGAGGAGGGTAGGCGGGGTCGAGGGGGATGCGGAGGCGTCCTGCTGACCCCGTGATCGCATGAAAGTGGAGACGACCTTTTATTTCGGGGAAAGTACTCTCGTGGGCGTAGTATGTCCGTGGAGACGAAGCTCGTGGAAGTCACTTTCATGCGAGTACACTAGCATCTGTAAACCCGACTTATGATCCAGGTACACGTACCCGGTACATCCACCTCCTACGTCCGTCGCGAATCGATGAATGTTTTCTCCTTTCGCCATCCGCTGAACGTCTCCTATCCTTGGACGATCGCAAATCTCGTATCGCGTTTAGGTGTTTGTACGAGTTGCACTTCCGTCATTTTCTTCTCTCGTTGCTCTTACTACGTATTGATTCTGCACCCAGGTTGAGCATGTGGTAGTAGGCTTACTATGCCCCTACTACCTATTATCCCCCACCGGGGTATATAACGACAGAATTTTTCGAACAGTAATTCATGCCTAAAAGTCTTGTCTAAAGTTCATTTATCTTTGGGAAAAGACGTTTCAGTGAACGTACGTTGAATGGTTGCAGGGTTGCACTGAGGGAAATTTCCCTTTTTTTGTTGTCTTTGAATGATGCCATCTTCTTGCTACATCAGCTTCTCTTTTGACATCAAGCTGAAATTGTTCTGGGTGTCTACAATGTCCTGTCACCCCCATGTTTTATTTTCACAATAGCCTTACCAGCAATAGAACATATTGAATAATGATTGTAACAGGATGAAACATTGAATAGTCTGTATTGAAGGTCTTCACCATCAAGTTGAAAGATCATTTTTATGGTTACTGCACTTGAGTTGTACTGGTTTTAAACAATTCTTGAGAATACTCACAGTAAAATATGAAAGTCAGGAGCTGCCCTCTCTTCATGTTGTAAGAATTTGCAATTCATGCATAATATGCAGAGGGAAACAAATCACAACTTGAAACATATTGAAAAACGTTTGACTTATTTTCAAATCACAATAGCTATAGGATCATATTTATTATGGTACTTGATAAATATCTTGCTTCAATTGCCCATGATATCAACTCTGGACTTTGTAATGCACTTACCACCATTATCAATAATGGTGGTGTATTGTGACTAAGGTTACCAGTAAAAATTTCTCATAGATAGGATCCCTTTCCTCTTTCCCTTGTTTCTAAAGTTCACAAATTTGCAGCTGCCAGAGATATATTTTGAGGTCATGTAAAGGCTGTTTCACATTAGGCATGAAAGGCCTGTTTGGGCTCTGAAATGTATGCAGTCGCATAAGGTCGACTTGAATGTGGTTCAGTATAAATCATTGATGTGTCAGGAGTATCAGAAGCAGTACATATTTCTTTGGACTTTTCTTCTTAGATGTTCGATTCCAGATAGGATTGGTGGGATTCCCCCGGGTAGAGTCCCCGACCCCAACTCCCCTCGGTGAAGGAGAAGGCAAGGAATCTTTGCCAGTTGTGATCGATCTGACAGACACTCCTTTGAAGATGGAACCTGCTGCTTCTTTGGCTGCATCTTTGCCTGCAAACGGTGAAACGGCCGAAGGAGCGTCTTCCTCTGCCACGTCTCAGGCGCAGCAGAAAAAACGGACTAGTCGACCGTCGAGAGGCACGAAGCGAGTCGGTTCCGTGTCGTCTCCGAGCCCAGGGGTGAAGAAACCTCGCAAGAGGGTGGCTCGAAGGAAACTAACCGAAGATGTGACCAACGGGAAGGAGTCGGGCTCGAGCTCTGGGAACGGCATCCAAGAGAAGGAAGGAGGAGGGGGGACTTCGGTGGACGACGACCTGGCAGCCGGTCCGAGCACGAGCGGTGCTGCGAGTACGAGCAGCTTCACGGGGGATCTCCTGGCCAATCTGACTTGCTCCATCTGCACGGAGGTCATGCATCAGTGTGTCGCCGTCCAGCCGTGCATGCATTCCTTCTGTGGGGGCTGCTACTCCAAGTGGATGGCAAAGAGCAACCAGTGTCCACAGTGCAGAGCCAAAGTGAATGCTGTTGCTAGGAATCACATGATGCAGAATTTGGTGGATCTGTTCCTGAAGGAGAACCCTGGTGAGTAGCCACATTCCTCTGTATTTATTGCTTCTATTCTCTTGGGGAAATCAAATGATTGTGTATTCTTCCCCATAAATAATCATCCTCTCTTTTCATGTACAATTTCTCAATGTAAATGTGTCCACATTGGCCTATTGCATCCGACAGAACATTTTATTTTTCCTTTCAGGATTTAAGCGGGCAAAGGAAGACATAGAAGATTTGGAGAAATCCAATAAGATCAACCAACAAGTGGTGCGTTTACCTATATTCACATGGGCATGTCCTGCATTTTGAGGAGTGATTAACACTATGACTGTTGATCATGGATAACTTTGGAAATATCTGAATATGATTTTGATTGGCTTGTCTTGCTCATAGTAATTATAAATGTAATTTTCTTTCCTTTTTGAAGTTCTAAGTGATGGATGGGACCTGGAATTGAAAATTCTTTGGTTAATAAAAGAAATATCTCAGTAAGGCCTGTATCTTGTATACTGCTATAATTTGAGTGTGAACCAATGGAGTTAAACATTCTTCTCTCATACTGTAGTATTAACCCTTTTTCTGCTATGTTCAAGTATAGTCAAAGTGCTCATCATCCTTTGAATTAAATAAGCAGTGAAAGGGTTAAAAACTTCCGATATTCACTCTCTGTCAGCTGCAAATGTGAAAATTTGTTACAAAGGTAAGAAACTGAGTATTCAAGCTGCAAAATAAATAGTTGAGATTTTACCAACAGTGTTGTGAAAGGGATAGGTTTTGATGACTAATCAGGAGTTACACAAATAAAAGTGTAGTATTTCTGTGCTTTCAGTTTCATCTCCTCTCCCTTTCCTGCATTTATATTTTTACTGACTGACAATCCTTCTCCTCCCCAGTTTACTTCTAACTTTCCAATTTTTCCTCCCAGAGTATTCTGCAAATTAAAAAAAATTATCAACCTAAGATGGTCTAAATTGTGAACATTCTACTCATGAAAGCAATTCCATTCATAGCATCATATTCAACCCTACTTCAGTTAAACATTGATGGTGGATAAACTGGTTGGCCTAGGGAATGATTGAGTTGAACATTCTTTGTGGAAATGGGATGAAGGAACCAAAGTTAAAGGCATAGCAACAAGACACATTTCAATGAGAAGTCAAAATTTTTGCTTGGCTGTGGCTTACAGTCTTGGGTGAGAGAACCGGAAATTCTCTCTTTTCTTGTACTTGTGCAGAATAGTAAAGTGCCATTGAATTGGCCGATTCTTCACCAGGTCAAGGTGAAAAAGAATGGACGAGGAAAGAAGCGAGGAGGGATACTCGAAGAAGTGGTTGGTGAAGAGGAAGTCAGCGATGTGGATTCCAGCGATGGTTCCTCTGCCAGGCACATCATTGGCACCTTCTTCGCCTCTCTTGAGCGCCGCATGAGCTTCTTGACTGGCCTCTTCCGTGTAAGTATTCAAGGACATCATTGTGTTGTGCATATCTTCATTTTGGGGTTGGACAAGATTCAGCACTTTGAGTATGATCTAATGCTCATAAACATCCTCCACATGGTCAGACTAATTTCTTCCGGTTCATGGATGCTCTCAAGTTCATTTGAACATATTTTTCTGTTCCAATGCACCCCTGAGTTTTAAATTTGACTGCTTTGCTGAGTGATGAAAGAGTAGTCTTTATTTCCATACTCAGGGGTCCCATGAGCACGAAAATTAAGCTTTCTTTATTGTTCAGACTAGTTTGGTAGTGAATGTATAAGTATTGTGATGTCCACTTCTTCAGGTTCTGATGTATCGTGAAAAAACTCAAGGAACTTTCAAATGCTCACAAGAATATCTCTTTGTGACAGGATTCAAGTAGTGGTGATGATGATGATGACCTTGATGACTACCATACTGGGGATGATGATGACGATGTTGAACTCCTTGATGATGGTGATGACGACGTGCAGCCTCTCCGAGGATGTCCGCAATGCCCTGGAAATAGACTGGGAACTGGTAGGTTTAATGAGATACACCAAATTACCATGTAACTCATATTTGTATTAAGTCCTCCTTTCCAAAAACAAGAGGCCACTTTTTATTTATTTATTTAGAAGTTCATCATATCTGTTTGTGAGACCCCTTTCATTGTTCCATGAGAGCTAAAAAGCAATTGTTTTGGGTGCAAGGAAAATTTATATGCAAGTCACAGTCAGAAAATTTCTTAGCAGTTTACCCAGAGGGGATGGACATTGGAGTGCATGATCTACAACTTCATTCTCTACCCTTCCCCCTTGACTGCTTGTCAGTTATTCTAAGCAATTTTTTAAATATAAGAATTTGATCATGGTTATGGTCTAAATAATAATTACACTCTGTAACTCAATCACTAAAATGCCTATTTTTATTTTGTCCCATGATGTCCAAAAATCAGGCCCTAGCTTGTTTCATTTTGGATCAAACATGTATAAATAAAAAATATCATTTGATTTTTCTCATAGCAACTGTGGGCACCTACCAGTGTGCTCCAAATCAGGTTCATCTTATGTGCAACTGTTGCTTGCGAGAGATGCCAAATCGTTTCCGGGATCGCCAAGTTGACCCATCCATCCCTCAGCAGAAATGTAGGTCTTTGGCATGTGGAACTGAGTGAAAGATTCCATAAGTTTGTTTTATTAGCCCAGAAAAACATTATTTTCATAAAGACAAAAGCATTAAAATTTGGTTTAAGTAATATTCTGTTTTAGCGAACATGACATACAGTTTTGCTTATATGGAACTTGAAGAAAATACAAAAGAATAGGAGAGCATGAAAAATACCAGCTGATATTCTTTCCACTCTTCCCATTTATTATCTCAGCTGTCACTACTTAGGGGAGATGTAGCTGAAAGTGTGAAGAAAATAGTTTTCCAGGCTCTACTTTGAAAACAAATAGTTTTTTTATTATCTTGTAAACTCTTGTATTCTTCACATTTAAGCAACAGAAACCCTTATGAAAATGAATATCTTCATATTATTGGAGGTTTTAAATGGATAAATCAGCTACTCACTATGAAATAAATGTTTCATTCACCTCTTATTGTAAGCAACCTCATTAAAAGAGGATTTCACTGAGCTCCTTCGTTTATTCTTATTGTCAGCAATTTCCATGCTTCCTTGCATGTATTTATGATTCTTATAATTGATTCATTTTGAATTTCAGGTTCAAAGTGTGGGAATTTCTTTTGTCACCTATATCTGAACCCCTGCACAAAACAAGAATGCAACGGATGCCTCAACAAGCTGCGGGACATGAATTTTGGGGACAAGGTGTATGATCGCTGGCTCCTTGACAATACCTATGAGTCTCAAGTCTTGAAGGTAAGGTCCATCCTAGGTGTTCTGCAAAGGAGATAAGTAGGTCATTCTGGTCAGCTTTAGTCCATCCAGGAACTTCTTTTCCCATGCAAAGGCTAGCATAAGGATTATGCAGAACAGTCTAGCTAGACTTCAACTAGTAATGATGCCCATGGCATCGGTGGACACTATCAAATAGGACAATATATTATCCATAGGCCAGTAGATTGAAGCTACAAAGCTATCTTGAATATTTCAAAGGTTGATTCATGATATATCCTTGTCCAACCCTGAGGTGTATTTCTCAATTTTCTATTTTTCTAGGAATATTTGCAGAGCAAGAATATGTCATGGCACAATGTCCTTCAGATATGCTGTGATCTCTTGGAAGAAGGAAGCATTACACTGCCTGAACTAGCTGGCATTCTTCCAGATAGTATTCTCTGCTACAGGTGTGCCTTGCAAGCATTTCAAAGCATGGTTTACCAGTACCGAGTCAGGCTGACACGTGAGGATCTTCCAGGTGAGACATCCTGACTCCATTTAAAGTTATAGTTAAACTTAATATGGTCACTTTAGTAAGACAGCATGCATTTCTTAGTTTGTAACACAAGTAGAGGGCTTTGGATGCCTATATGTCATGTTTCATTTGTGGCTTATAACAAACTCTTGAGAGAGCAGATGTTGCATCTGCAGTTGGTTTGCTGTGCCACTATGTTTAAGAATGGATATTTCCTCTGAATTTGAATTTGATTACTTTTCCTTTTTGTGCCCTTGTAGCCGAAGTGACGTCTCGGCAGAACTGCTACTGGGGCCGCAATTGTCGCACTCAATTGCATCAACCTCATCATGCAAGGTGAATAACTCTTTCCTGCCCAATAAAAATTATGTTTTATCTCTTTACTAGAGATGAATGGAAAGACTGTCCATTTGTTTGAATCTTGTGATTAAAAATACATAGACCTAAAGCTGTAGATAAATTAGTGGCCTGTTATACATCATGGGAAAAAGTCACTTTTCCAAATTGAGTTGGCATGCATTGGTTTTGTGGAATAAGTGAAAAAAATGGGTTGAATACATGTCTCCCTGAACAGGAGGTACAACCACATCTGTGAGCAGATCCGTTTTGGAGAGAAGTAAAGTCTTGAAGGAACACGATGGAATGCTTCCGCAAGAGAACTCGTCAGGCTGCAATTCAACAATAGGTACTGGTGATTTTGTTGGCAGTGGTTCGTCGATCTTATGCCATAATGGTTTGCTTGCATTCCAATGCTGAAATTAAATTTTGAATTGATTATTCCCCAGCTTTTCTTTGCTGTTACTCTAGAAGAGAGGAAGAGAGAATGAGTTGTGCTATGTGCCTTCAAGATTCGATCTATTTCTTTGTCTATCTTTGATTTTGTCCTCCAAAAGGCCAGAAATAAAATGTTTGGAGGTTCCTTTAGCAAGTCTTTCAGTTCTCACAACCGAACAAGGATGCTTATTGACATGGTGTTTTAATTTTACACATTGTCCAGAGTGGGGAGGCATTTACCAATACCCCCAATTTTTACATGAATTTTAAATTTGGCTTACTCTGCTAAGTGCACAAAAGCTGAAGGAGGTGTGGATAGAAAAATCCCTTAATGTTGATAAGAAACGGCAGCAAGTCAGACTGCCTGGGGCGATGCCTGTGCAATTTGATCTGCAAATTCCTCTCAACAAGCTCCTCGTTAGGCAACTCTCTCCCTCCAACTGTTGAAGAACTTTGTACCATTCCTGGCAAGGAAGTTGGGTAGGATTGCTTAATCAGGGACTCCAACTGCTGATAGTAGGAAGATGCTCAGAATCTCCGTGCCACTTGGATCGTGATCACCTGCAACATATGAAAGCATTAATTGGTATGGTTCTTGATCTGACCTACTTCATCAACCTACTGCACTTGAAGGAAGACCGCGAATTTATTCCGACCGTCGATCCCACAGCATAGCATCACTCCGACTATTACAATATTATAGGCATTATTATATTATAGGTACGCCTGCATGGAACCACGAAGCGTGCATGAACGTGGCATTTGTCCTCCAGCATTTAATTCCGGTATTTCATTCCCAAGGTCGCGAAAAATAAAATCTAAATGCGAAAATTTCTTCAATGTCTTCCCTTCCACTTTTTTTCCCCCTTTATTCGTTCGACGACGGAGCACTTGCACCTTTCAAAAATGTTGTGAGATTCCTTCCAGTAAACCCAAAAATTTGTTTAATTATTGTATTCCTCGGCGGTTGCGACACTCTCACGATCCGCAAGAGTGAAAAATCTGTTCAACTGTGGGAATTTTGGGTCGTGGTTTGCAAATCAGCCTCCTTTTTTTTTTTGCACTACCGAGTAAGGTCCTAAAATAAAATGTGATGAAACTTTATTTAGTTATTTCGCCATTTTCTCTCCTTTGCGCATCCTGCAATTTTTCTCCCACCGACTTGCCGCAAAAGCAATTGCATTTCTTTCGCGAGGGGAATCGGCGATAACCTTTCGCTTCGATCTGTCATCGAAAGGTTATCGGCGATAACCTTTCGAAATTGCTGCTCTCTAAAAGTAGACCAGCGATTAGAGTCTGTAGTTGAAGGATGGGACGAGGAGAAATGCAAACGGATTTCCTGACGAATCAGACCAATGAAAAAAAATTATAATTGTCCATGTCACTCTTGCAAATTCCAGTCGCTAAAACTGCAGGTGGACGGACGAAAATTTGCGGGATGTCGAAGGAGCATAAATAGAAGTGGCGATGAATTTCTCTGCATACTCTGATCGACGTCGAGTGATATCTTCCTTTTTTTTCCTCCTTACGATTCGTTTGGCAATTCGAGAGCGCAGAATAGCCGTGAAAGAAACTTGGCAAAGATGAGAAAATGTTTGCAGAAGTGCAAATTCCTCTCGCAGCGTCATGCGCCAATCAGGAAAAAGTTTTGCAAATTTTTTCTTTTTTTTCTCCGAAAAGTTTTAAACCCGAGGCACTTCCAGTTGCAAATTTTATTCTCATATGAAGTCAGGTCTCTTCGATGGCGACTGGCAAAATTTCATCTCATTCGTCGATCAAGGATGGCGTCTATTAATTTTTGCTAAAATTGAAAACGAATGCCGTGATGAAGCACAGAAGCATCAGCAGGACTCAGCTGCTGAAAGACCTGCTCATGGACCTTAAAATATTAATTCCTTAAAATATTATTCAATTTCGGCAGAAAGAGATCTGTCTTCTCATGAGAAGAGTAAAAAAAAAAGTGCATTGGAAGTGCGAGAGGCTAAGAACTTTTTGAACGCTGCCTACGAAATGAATTGTGCGATTTTAGCAACACATTTTCGTCAGAGTCAATTATTCTACCGTGCAAGATGGAAGGTCAAGAGGCAGAAAATTCGAATATTACTATTTCCACCCTAGCTGCACGATCGAAACCAAAACTCGTTCAGATGTGCGGGGTGATAAGACGACTCTTGCAGTAGATTTACACGGATCTCCATCGTGTCCAAGTCCAAGGAATACTTGAAGCGGTGAATTTTCACATTTTTAATAGCGCTGCTGTTGACGATCCACCCAATAAAGCAATGCAAGATGTGGAAACGCATGAAGCCTGAGAAATGCAAAGAACTCCTACCTGGCAGGAATCCTCACCGAAGAGTCTCCACATCCGGACACAAGCGTCCCGGCAGACCGAGTGGTTCACATCCGAATGCTCCGTTCCCTCGCCGGACGGTTCCCCGAGGCGGTGTCTGGCTCTTGCGCCGATGCGAAGGGAGGTCTGGGTCTCAACCTCCTTGGCCCCAATGCTAACGCTGGAATGGAATTCACTCACCCATTCTTTCCTGCCTTTCAAAAACAACCGGCGAAATTGCCTAGAAAGGAGAGCGTCCGCGTGCCGTCCGGGAGGCCAGGGTTCGACCCTCCCGGCCGCCCCACCCAGGCGTCAAATTCTCGTTGGGTACACACCGTCTTTCCTCGCCTAGCGCTCGGCGTTTGAGGAGTGTGGGCAATTGGGGGCCACTCCCGAAGTATACGTTTTCCTCGAGTGGCCCCCAATTGCTTTGGTTAAAAATTAAATTACTTGGAATTTTTTTAAATTTTCTATGTTAAAAATTCAATTTAAAAAAATTCAAAATTTTCACGCTTAGTCCAACGAAGTTAGGTCTGCAAAAAAAAAACAAGGTATATTGTCTCCTACTGCATAAGGCAATGCAAAATCACCGCTGAAGGATAACGCGGATATGGAACTCACAAATCCGTCTTCTTTTTTTTACATGTTATTATGTAAATATACAACTGCTCATTCGAATTCTTTAAAATAAATATATGATTGCCAAATTTTGTGGAAACACTAACGACATCGTACCCTACATGCTCACGACGGAAAACGCGTTTAATCACTAGCTCGCGCCGACGAAGTTAAATCTGTTAAGGGAATCGATAACGAGGGGCGTGCGATATTTCCAACTCGATGGCAACAGCAGAACGAGAGGGAACCAGTCAAGTTGGGAAAGACGTTGCGAGACTCAAGTTGCGAATAGACTTTTTCTCTTGTAGGGTGCAGTATATAAAATAAGTTACCATGTAATTGTTGCTCCGCGCCTTGACTAGCTTCAAGAGGTTGGATTCCTTCATGGACAAAAAAAAAACGGGAACGATGTAAATAACGAGGCAGTGGGTATAAATGATCCCAAAGACACATCAACCTTTAAAAGGCTTATCTTATTCTATGTGAACGCTCGACCTTTACCGGGGACGTCATGATGGAGGGAAAACGCTTCTGGAGATCCCTATCTAAACCATATTAAGGGCTTAGAAGCTTCACTTTAATCCATGATCCAATAAATGCGAACTTTGATTCAAATGAACCTTTCTTTTATGCATTGGATCATCTGAATGTTCACGTCACTTGAAAGTTCTGGAGCGACTGGACCTGGATGTAAATGTTTCATTCCAAAAATTCCATCAAAAAGTTCCACGAGTGACTTTAATTTATTTAAATTTTACAAGTAGGTTACTGAATTTTTTAAAAGGACTTATTTGAAGAACCCGTCATTCCAATGTATTGGGTAAGTGAAGAATGCAGCATGAAGGACCATCAAGCCCAGAGAAAAATATGCTAACCATTCACAGGGTGAAATGTGACCTTTTTTTGCACTTCCATCTTCAAGGTGGAAGGGAAAGTATGCCATGAGGAAGGAGGTCTATTACAGCAACTTGTGCCATTAGACTCTCTCCTTTGCAAGCAGAGATCCATTCTCACTCAAACATTTAGGATTAATGTCGCTTCAACATAAAAAAAAAACATTGCTTCGCCCATATGTAATTTTTGAGGTCTACACTGAATATTCTCACCCATAGGTTTGCAGGATTTTGGGAACAGCAAGTCCTATCAAATTTCACCAAATGATTTTGACCTAACCAGTGAACTGGTTTAAGGGGAACTTTTACTTCCACATTAACAGCATACAAATTTATGCAAAGTTTCATCAGAGAGTTTCAGATATTTTTTTGAACAATACATACACATCCATCTATGAATGTGAAACCATGACTTGGAGCTTCTTAAAAATTTATATTTTTTGAAGTAGTTCCTCAAAAGAAATGGAAAAAGTGAAGCAAATATTATTAGCTGAGATAGAAAATAAGGAGGAGGGGTAGAAGATGTAATTTTTCATTTAGTATAACTTTACCCTAAAAGACACCTACATGCAAATAATGGCACAGTGAAGTGATGGCCTAAGGTTCCAGGACTGCAATTGAGAATGCTATTATGATGCAGAAGACCAAACTTTGTTTAATTCCATTGTATATCCCTCATGAACACAAGTGAAAATGCAAAGCCAACACAGGAAACCCTCTTCAATTTCCAAAGCTGGAATGCTAAAACATGTTGAAATTCACAATACTGCCACTCTGAAACCTTATCACAGAGCTAAATACCATAATGAGTGCTGGCACAGGGATAGGCAAGAATAACCAAGTAAACAGTTACAGCACGACAAATTGCACTGAAACTTAAATAAAAACCAGTCACACAAAATGACCACGATCAAATCAGTCTTCGTGTAAAATGATGGTACGAAGGGCATCTGAATCGAGGACCTCTAATGTAGCCGAAGTGCCATCGTTGAATCGGAAGCTGAGACTACCATCAACGACCAGACTTGCATCGACACAGCGAGATTTCACATCCACGCTTCGAGCAAAGCCTCGAGGCTTTCTATCAAGAGGGGTGGGGAGAACTCCCATCGTGATTGGATCCCGAATTGTATACACCATCTGGGGCTCACCTGAAATGTGGCAAAGCACATGAAATTCATCATTCCTTCTGAGACAGAACTGAGAGCAGAAACTAAGCAAAAATGCTCATTAGTCATTATTTCATGTTACTTTAAGGATTATAACAAAGGTAAGTTTTTTTTTTCACTTGATAAGAGATGCAAAACATTGTTGACTCATCTCACACAGACTGCAATGTGAAGTTATTGAGGGTGCAGACTTTTACTAGAGCGTTGAAGAAAATGTCAGCAAACTAAAGTACTTATGTTGAATGATTCCAACAAGCATACAAAACTATCAGACATGAAAAAGTCTCATATGCCACTGCATATACTAGTATAGTGACTTCATTGCTACCCATCATAAAGAGTACAGACTTCAAAGCTGAGTCTTGTCTGTAATTAGCTATAATTACTGCATGCTACTTCATCCCAGTCCCACCCCACTAAACACATGAGCTTTTGCAAGGTCTAATGTGTCAGTCTCATTTCAATAACAATCTCACTACTACTGTCACATCAACAGTACATGCAATTCCTCTCATATGTTATGGTTCCCAGGGAAGAACAATAACAAGTCTTTAATCCTTTCACTGGTGAGTTTGAGATACAAGAGGAAGTCAGCTTGAAAATTTTCTGGGTCTGCTGGTGAAGGGGTCAAGGATAAAACAAAACTAAACCAGAAAATTGAAGAGTGAAAGTAAAAAACTCACTAGGATCAACAATCAGCTCATTGTTAAAGCGAGCTGTTATCTTCTCAATGAGCCGGCAGTCGTTCTTATTCAATCGAACCGAGGGAACTTCATCCTCAATGATATGTAGCAACTTCTCCACATTTTGGTGGGTCAGTTTATTTATGTTGAATGTCCATGATGTTGAACCAGTCCCAGTGCTAAAAATGAACCCCGAGCACTTTTGCTTGAACTTGTCACCATTGTCAAGGGAGATCTCGCAGTAAGATACTCGTGCAGACAGAGATTCACCAATAAATACCTGAAAATTGAGTTAACATCAATTACTTGTCACTCAAAGCCCCTATATAAATAATTGCTATCATGACTTAGTTATAAACTTTTAATTTCATCCCTTACAAAGGCATTTTGCTTCATAGAACTCTACTGGTACCTAGAAAACAAATTAAACACTCTTAGCAATGATCAAGCCAATTTTTTTAGTAGGATAAATAAATATAAAACTTATTCATGTTTTTTGTGGTTTCTAAAACGGTGCAAAAAGCAATAGTTTCTTCCCTGAGGAAAATATAACCCACAATCAGAGGGATGAGCCCAGCCACCACTAAATTGTATGAATTCGAAGAAAATCACTTGAGATACAGATCAACCAATTCCTAGGCAATCCATTTAAACCACTGTTTCACATCTTGCACCATTCACCAAATATCCAGATTTGAACATCACAGGTCTTCTATTCAGCCAAGAATGGTGAAAGTCTTGGGTCATGGAATAACTTCTCTCCTATTTGTGAGATAAGCTTCATTCTGGTTTTATCCTAACTAAGATTGCCCTTTCTAAATATTACAGGCAACATTTAAAAATTTATCTTCGACCAGATAGTTCAACATGCATTAGTCACCAATATATGCCCTTGCTCTTCTTTGAATCCAGAGTTCCTCATTTCAGAGGTCATTTTATGCCATTCCTTGAAATACCGAATTAAATGCTTTGTCATGAAGATGTAGTGGATGCCATCCTATAAGTGTTGAGCTGGTCTCAGATTTTCCAGGGCAGAATGAGATGGTTGAATGAACTAAATGCCTTGCTAAAATCTATAATGGTCGGACAAATCTTGCTGTGGTCTTGGTAAGGAAACGGGGAAGTTGAAGAGGTGTGCCTACCTTTATAAAAAATCATACTAATCTTATTGCCATCTGCATCATGGACACTTGCCATGATGCAGCCTCTAAGGTGAATTGTCAGGAAGTTTCCTTGACAGTCTTTCACATCACTTGGTAATCATTCCTTGGTAATGGGTCCATATGAGGCTTTTCCTTCGTAGGTCAGGAATTTCACATCTTATGAAGCAGATTGAATAGTCAAGTCCACCAGCAGGTGAAGAATGGAGCCTTTGATAAGCATGTAGATATTTTTATTTTTGCCAATAGCCTTGCATTCAGGGGAGAAAAGGAAGGTGCAGGAGTTTCATTTTAACACATATAGAGCCCCAGAACCGTAACTTTACATTTTGACGTAGTCTAGTTTTCACGTGCTCAGGACTCAATGCGTTAAGCAAAGGTTTTGTATCATAATTCAGAATGTGGTGTAGTGTCCAAGGGTGGAGGACATTGGTAGATCCTCAAGGAATTATACTACTCTCAGTTTAGCTAAACTTCATATGAATTCATTGATTTATTAAGGGAAAGTCAAAGTTTAATAACAATCTGGTTAGTAACTGGGGAAATAGTTATGATGTTCAGGGGTCTAGCTAGGCATAGCAGCATACCTTAGGAACCTGTCATTAAGTAGCAAAGAGGGGAGTTTATGATGGATCCCTCCTTTGCCTTCACTTCATGTACTCACTCATGTACAAAAAGCCAAGTTAAAAAAAGTAGAAGAAAGCAGGACCAAGGAGTTGGAAAGCTATGGAACTGACCTCATTCAGAGCAAGTACAGGCAGAACACGATGATGTGTGGGTGAATCCCTCCCTTCCCTCATCTCCCTCGCCTTCGCACATTGAAGCTGTTCAGGTAGATCTTCCAGAAACCTTGACAAGGACAGAGACTCAAATAAATAAGGACTTGAAAGATGAACCCAGAGCAGCCAGTGGGAAGATAGGCATGAAAACAATGATCATGATGAAGGAGAGACTCTATAATTAATTACACTAAGGGTCACATGGAACAGTGTCTTGCAAAATGATGGCATCTAGCAAATGGGTTAACATGACATGGCAAGAGGCATTCCTTCAATGAATACTAAAATGATACATCTGAGACAAATGAATGAGTAACAAATAGATAAGATCCTGGCATTAGAGGACCCCTAGGAAGTCTATAGAGTCCAGAATATACTTCATAGTGCAGACAAACTTGTGACAAAATTACACATCATATAGACAATAAATGCTACATAGGAGAGACTGCTGAATTTGGAAAATGTATGATGAATCAGATTATGTATTTTGCTCTGATCCTGAATGGATAGACAGCATGATCTCATCTTGTCAATTATATTTGAGAAATCCAAAGGCTTATCCATGGAGAAATCAGTCCCCTTTCACTCCAACAAAACTTTAGGCTATTATGAAATATATATTGAGGCACACATGAACTGTTCTCCTGGATGAGTTCTGGAATGTATAATGCAAAACCCAGCCATGGTAGCCACATATTTTATGGGTTTTTTTTTGTAAATTTACTCATTTGCTGAATCAATCTTATTCTTTCCCTCCCCTTGCCCACTCTCTTTAATGCTTTAATGCTGCTTCCTCAAAGAAGGAATAAAAAATTGTGAATCTGTGATAGTTCTAGTCAAGATGCGAAGATTGAACCTAATTTTTATTCTTACAGACAAAACAGACACTTACTGTCCATTTCAATATATAAGACATAATGTTTCAGCAAGAGGAACAACCACCACATGGTATAATGTTGAGTGAAGTTCAACACCATACTCAAAAAAGAGCCAAGTTGGCAAAAAACCTTTTCTTTCTCAGCAAACCAGACCAGCAAACTCCAAAGTAACATGATGAACTTTTACAGGAACTGAACATTGTTGAAGCTGTAGATGTTGAGGATATGATAGAAGAACTCATTGAAACACTTCAAGAACAGCTCTTGAACCAGCAAGTAGATAGTGATGAAGGAAAAACATTTCTGATGAAAAAATATATATCTAAGAGGTGTTAAGATCCTAAAATCCCAGAGAACATTGGACCTGCCTGAAAATTTGGAATTCTGCAGGAACATCCATTAGAAGATGAGAGAAGAAATAAGACATTAACATGGTGGAAGTAGCAGTAAAGTGGGCAAGAGTTTCAAGACTACTAAATGGAAAAAAAAAGTGGGAAAAGTTGGATGCTTGTCATCAGGGAGGAACTGCAGTTCCATAATGCATAACCAAGAGAGAATTCTGGAATGAGCCCCAGAGTTTCACCAGGGTAGGACACAAGAGACAGTAGAGACACAAAAGTACAAGTAATGAACACCACCCGAGAAGTAAAAGAAATTCCAGGGAGCAAATGGGAATAAGGTACCTGAAAAAGATACGAGGGCCACTCAATAAGTTATCTACCTGAATATGAAAGGGATGAGCAACAGGCCTGTGCCTGCTCTGACATGTCTCGACAGGTCTCGTGAGTGCCCCACCACTATANTCCCAAGAATGCTGACTCCAGCTCAGAAGAAGAACAGATCTGACATCTGCAAGGAAAACTTGGAGTTTTCTAAACAAATCGGGGAAACTTTTTTTCCCAGAATAGTAACTGGTGATGAAACTTGGGTTCATCACTGGGATCCTGAAACCAAGCAGGAGTCCATGCAGTGAAAGCACAAGGGATCGCTAACGCCTCGCAAATTTCGTGTTCAGAAATCTGCAGGAAAGATTATGGCCACTGTGTTTTGGGACAGTGAGGGACTACTGCTGCTTGAGTTCATGCCAGACAAGTGTACAATCACTGGCGATTCCTATGCTACCACCATGAAAAATGTACACGATGCCATCGAGGAAAAATGCAGAGGAAAGTTGTCGAGGGGGTCCTTCTTCTCCATGACAACGCGTCCGTCCACAAATCATGGGAAGTTCAGGCAGCAGTGAGGGAGTGTGGCTTTCAGGAGCTCAGCCATCCTCCCTACAGCCCGGATCTGGCTCCTAGTGACTATTTTCTGTTCAGACACTTGAAAAAATTTTTGCGGGGAAAAAGATTTTCATGCAATGAAGAGCTGAAAGTTGCAGTTTCTGATTGGTTTTATGGACAAGAAGTTGACTTCTATTCCCAGGGAATAAAATCTTTGGAATCAAAGTGGAATAAGTGTGTTGAGTTAAAAGGTGACTACATTGAAAAATAAAGTGTTATTTTTCCCCTCGGATGTTTCTTTCTTATTCAGGTAGATAACTTTTTGAGTGACCCTCGTATCTCTCTATTTCTCCATCCCCCTCTTACCCAAGGGTGGGGGATGCAGAAAGACATCATGAGTTAACGACCTGAGAGCGGGGCTGGGAAGGCGCAAAGATAGGAGGTGAAAGGTTAAGGTCACGCCAGTCACACGTCACAGTCACTCACTTTAATAAAGTGAACCTGTGAAGGAAACGTCCAGCACACGTGACGCTACTAAATTTTTCCTGAAAACGGAAGGATGCCAATTCAAATAAAAGGCGTGAATCACGTACAGATTAACGTATTTCCATTAACATGTCTGCGCAGTGATATTTGGGATGAATCCCGAAATTAATTTTAATTTAGTTAATTTAAGTTTTTTTTTCAGATATCGAATGTGCTTTTATTTTGATCATTTAGAGTTCAAACTCCGTTTCCACCATTTCATAACATTTTTCTTAGTTTTATTTTCTCTGTTCGCGTCGTTTCGCGTTTTTGTTGAGTATATCTTTCCTGATGATTTGATAACGCTTTCTTGCATTCGTAGACATTTGAAAGACAGGTCATTAGAACTTTAGGGCTGGTTGCGCCACTGGATGTTTCCAAAACAGTCATCGGGACAGCCCTAAAGAACAAAAAAAAGCGAAACATGGCTTCCTAATAGGCCTATCTGCATTATTATTTTCAAGTATTTCATCGCTCTTTATCTGCATGTCACATGCCAGCATTTTTTCGATTCCCTACCACTGGGATAGTGGATGATACAACTTATCAAGACAGCAGTGAAGTTACGGGGCAGTCTGGTAAGTTAGAAGTGAAACACATTTAAATGACAGACTCTCCAAGAGGCTACATGTAATAGCAGCCTCCTCGACTACCCACGAAATATATCTTGAATATATCGCATAATGTTAAGTACGGGAAGGTAGGAATGAACATTAGGCTCGGAAATACTCGTATCTTACCTATATTCAGGGGCAAGCAGCTGCTGATCATGAAGTTCCACTGGTTGATCGAATACATTCTCTCCGGCAATTGTGATTCGGATTCGATTTCGAAACATCCACCGAAACTGGCCCTAGACGGAAATACGGGATACATTCAGAGATGTGAAGAAGAGCGCATTCATCGATGCAAGACCGAAGGAGAACTTTGGTTCGTCAGCTCGTCGTGCAGACGAGTGAAGCGAGTCGCTTCATATATTCTCACCAACTTCTGTCATAAACGCATTTCCATCTATTTCCACCCATGTTCCTCCAAAGGAAAGAATAGGAACATATATGATATGCTGGACTCGATTGCGGTTCTCATTTGAGACGAACCTATCAGGCGTCCAAGAAATTAATGGGCGTCCAAATTCGATGCTTCCAGAGAACCCTGGGTGTCTATGAAACCGTTAGATTTGCAATCAATGAAAATAAAAAGCTCGGTCTGTCTCATGTGCATCATGTGTCATAAGAACGGAATGGTGTTTTAGTTACAATTATGTGGCACACCTTGTATGCATACATTTCATTGATACTTGCTGAACTGCAATGCGCATCTCCACCTTCTATGAAGAAAGAGTGCATCCTAAGTATTAAACCTGAATTCCATGAAAAAGTTAATATCTTTTAGATTTAGATTTGGTGAATGGAATTTGCAAATGCTGCCAACAATATGACTTCCCTGATTTAAAGTATTGTTAACTCTCCACAAAAAATATGTTAGCACTATTGGTGTTGAGTTGGTGGGCTTGAAATGTGTGTTTCAGTATATTGGCTCACCCATAATAACTTCAAAACAGGCATTTTCATTCCAAGGTGTGATGGTTGTCCTCTACTTAATTGTCATGAAGACATGCAAATACTAATAGGAAAAAGTATGAAGTTAAGGCGGGACTCACATTACAGAGTTTCTTCACTGCTTCATCCACTGCAAGGGAGTATTTCTTGGGCAAGCAAAGATGACCCTCAGATCTAGATGGATCACTGTTAAATCCTACCACCAACTTGTTGGAGTCATGAACTTTGCTTGCAGCCAAGAGAAATGTACCATCTCCACCAGCACTCACAATGACATCTGCCCATTTAACAGATGCAATGGTGTAATCAAACCTAAAGAGTGAAGAATAAAACTTATGAACAGATATCAGGTCTCCAACCAAATCCAATCTCACACACACACAAATACACTTATATGGCTCTGAATGGTTCTGAATTATTACTGGTGTCCTGTATCCAGGATCTAGCCAAAATCCTATCTGATACTGAACCTAAGGAAATATTTCTCAAAAGAAACAACCAGGACATAAGATTCCGTCATAGGCCTGCTTTTCCTTCAATACTCATAGGGAACTTGCTTGATGAGGTACTAACCTGTAAGCAACTTTGGTTTCAATGCCATGAGATTCCAATGCCTGGACAACTCGTTTCTCACATTCTTTGTGAACTAGATGCCTCTGCTTCAACATATCCAAGTCTGAACCTCTTCTGGACAGCAACTCTCGCAGCTCTTCATCACTTACATCTTGAAAACGTCGCTTCTCAAACTCGTACCTTGTCACTTTTGTGATGACAAGGGCCTTCTTTGGTTTGAATGCTGAAGGCTTCATTGATGCTTCAACTGATGAATGCAAGCCACACTTGGAGACAACATGCCATGTCAAATCTGAAAACAGATACATTGTAAACATGAACCTTCACGGTTGGCATGGATAAAACTCAGAATGTCAATAAAAAGACCTTAAAAAAATGCATATGTAGGGTAACACTTAAATATTGGTTCCTCATAAATAAATAAATAAATAACCCATAAATAAATTAAATTTGTATATTGATGGAAGTACGGTGATCAATTTCATTACATTGTTTATCAGAACATTTGAACATCTGCCATTTTTTCTCTAAGGGTTTTATGGCCTTGTCAGTTATTGCTCTGCTACTTGCAAATATCACAATTAATAAAATTGACTCAAAGTAATTTACATTTTTGGAAAATCAGTTCATGATTTTTCAGCTCCATTTACATGATTCTTGAACAAGTAAATATGTGCAAATAAATGCCATTAAAACTTTCACCATTTTTCTACCAAGATTCAGAACATTTATGATTTTCAAGCAATGCATGGGGATCCATACATTTTTTCAAATGTTACCCAACACATGGGACACATAGTATTTTCCTGCTTTCACCTGACATGTTGGAATCAAATCTCAAATGATTTAAAATCATGTTATTTTATGTTTTACAATAAATTCATCACCTTGTGTCCCCATAATGGAAGTGACTGATGACTCAGTATGACTCATGACTCAGTCAAGACTCTCCACAACAAGCTGATCAAGTGCATTAATCTAAGTTCACTATAGAAACAATGACTGTCAAATGTGAATATCTTTTTCCTCTTTGATACATGCAATGGCATAAAGCAAAATAGAAGATAGCATACGGCATGTAGTCAGATTCCTGGGATGCAACTATGGCTGTGAAGGTTTTAAACAATGATCCCATACTTGGCAGACTATTGAAGATAGCATCATCCAATGGCAAACAGCTGCCATTATATCACTCTACAATGAGCAATGAGGGGTTTGGGCATGTCAATGACTCCCACGGCTGATGACTTCAGTGATTCAGCACTCTATTATACCAGGCAGGAATATGTAAAATTACACCAGTGAATTACTAGGAGAATTTAACAACATGCCCACATGCTGGATTGATGAAAAAAATCAATGACAACCATCACTTCATAAAAAAAAAAAAGGGGGGGGGGGGGAAGGGTTTCTGCCTGAGCTCCTGGGCCAAAATTTGCTAATAATGGGTATACAATGTTTGTGCAAATATCATAGTTGTAATAAAAGAGATGAGATTGATGCCTTGCATGCAAATAGCAGGATGACGTACCTTCATTTTAACGCCAGATTTCTTTCTTTGTGTGCCAATCAGGCAATACATCATTTCTCTCTACCACCGGTAAAGCGGTGGTGAGGGCTCAAAGGGTTAATGGTGAAGATACTTTCAAGTATCTTTGGTGAAGATACCTTCGAGTATCTTTGGTGAAGATACCTTCAAGTATCTTTGGTGAAGATACTTTCAAGTATCTTCACAATCAGCAGCTTCTCATTCAAGATTTAACAATTCTACTGGATGAGAAGTGAATCTTTCGCACAGTGTTCAGCATCTGTTTCTATACACTGAAATAGGAATAAACCAAAAAGGTAGTATTAATGAAAAGCCCCATGAACAAATAGTTGCTTTATATATGATGAGAATCACCCATATCCCATATAGAAAGACCATACACAGCAGTTGTTATATATTTATATTTTTTCCATGTACTGACATGTACAAAGGAATGGGAAAAAAGAAACTTATTCACATATTAAACATACCTTGGCAGCAAATATGTTCCATATCCAATAAGTATCAGGAGTGGGGTATAAGCTTCAGCATATATTATATGTATCTGGTTGAAGTTAAAGACCATCATAAAGGTCTTTCAAGTATTAAATATTGCTTCAAATACAATATAATGTCATGTGGAACAATGCACATGATTATAGTATGTAATTCTTATGAGGCCTTTCCATGTACTGAAAAAATATACAGCATATGAGTAGTTTAGTAAGTACTAAGACTTCCACAAAGACCATCACATTCCTTCTAAGGATGAGGTATAAATTATCGAATTGCTTAAAGAACAATGAGGAGTCATATGAATTCTGATTGCAGAAAGCACCAAGGCATGTTAAATTCACTGCATGAATCTTGGTTCAATAAGGAAAAAACTATATGAATCAGAACTTTAAAAGAGGTGGGGAACATTAAAAACAGTCTGGGAAATGTGCAATGAGCAAGAGCCCAGAAGACAAATTATGGCAGACTAAAAAATTACCAGGAAATTTTGTTAGAGCAATTCACTCACTTTTATATTTTCTGTAGTCTTACAATTTTGAAAAATTTTTGACCAATATTTGTCAGTGAATTTGACATGTTTTACCCTTTCTACAATAAGAAATTAAATAACTCCACAATCTCCTTTGCGCATGCAGAACTGCACGGGATGCACCATCTTCAGTTACATGCTATGCATAGTCAATTAGCTACAGTGAGAAAAACTGCACAGGTTCCTTCCAAATGTATCTGACTCAATGAGAAGTGATTTGTAATCTCATCCATAGAAGGTACATGAAAACCCTTGTATCTGCTTCATGAAGATGCATTTAAAATTTCCTTCACATGGGACATATCCTGCATGATGGACTTTCATACTTTTCCTAACAAAGCAATGGTAGGAATTACATGACAATAAAGAGCAAGCAAGTCTAAGTTGGAAATGTGATTCTCCTGAGTGACAACAAACTAATGGCCTAGGAGTATGAGTACAATTTTTTCCTTTCTTAGACTCTTGCCTATTGACTGTGGTGTTGAAACCAGAAGCAACAAGGCTGGTCCAATTTCAGAGATGATTAAAAAATGAATAAAAAAACATAAACATAATAATAAAAAAAAGCATGACTGCAGCATCAAGAGTGACTGCAATAGAAACATACATACTGAAGCATCAGTAATTTTTCAATAGTAAAATATGATCAGATATAATACCTCATATATGACCACATTATTACATAAGATGTATAAGATGGATCTACCACACACATCCATCTACCACACACATCCATTTCACAGTATATCAGAAATGAAGGCATCATATAGGGCAGCATTGTACCAAGCAGACCTACATGGGAGAGCTATGACAGCCAGTTATCCTATCACTCAAGTTCACCTAACGATGAGTATTTCAATCATGAGGTAATACACTGCATAAAAGTATGCATTTCTTCTTAACATCAAGGTTATCATTCACATGTAACAACTTCCAACAGATGCACTTGGAAAAAGGAATTTCAGATGGATCAACAAAAAGTTCAATGGGACATGACAGTGCCTGTCATTCATCTTACCAATGGCTCTTAAGTGCATGCATGCATAAATTTTGTGATGAAGTGCATGGCCAGCAGAATCACATGGGCCTGGCCACTCAATGACACATGGTGCATGAGTTCATGCATGAAGCAATCTTTGGCAGGCACATAGTGGGGTTGGATTCACTAGTCTGATTGAAGGAAATTTATTAAACACAACTACAACTTGGGACCAGTTCCTAAAACAGGAAATGAGGTAGTTTTGATCATATTATGTTATATGCACATAAAGAAAAATTTATGATCAGAACAAGCTTACATTATACACCAGGTTTTAAAAAAACCTAGCCATGGATAGTGAAATATGACAGCAAAAAGAACTTTTGGAAGGCTTCTTCAGTCTGTTGATAAGACATACTTATCTTTCTATACAAACAAGGGACCAATAGAGAAACAGGCCAATAACTCATACATGGGTCCAAGCCTCAGAGAATTTTGGCAATATTTGGGAAGACAAATAACAGATGTTTAACATAACTAGGTTCTTATATTTCAAACTGCAAGGGAACAGAGAGGTTCCTCACAAGAGCTAGTACACCAACATTTTGCCTTTATGTGCAGGTGATACAACCTGGGCCATTATGGCTGCTCCTAAAGATCTACTCTCAAACTTCCATTATTGACAATTAATTTCATGTTTAATATATTGTGAATCTTCTTCAGTCTTGCAGTAGACTAGCTCATTCAATGATTCCTTAAATTGAAATCAAATGGCTTTATATTGAATATAATGATTTCATATTGAAAAAACTCATAATAAAAGCCTGTGCACAAAAAGTAAGGAAAAAAATTGGCAGGTAGTGGAAGTTTACACCTCAGATTTTCACACAGGTTGCAGAATTGGTTCCCACTGGGATTTACTTCAGCATGTTAGGTCTACTATGAGCTGAATATGGGAGGAAATATTAACCAACATATATATGTCAAGAAGTGCTCCAATACTAAAAAAGTAAAATACTTAGAATTGATCCATCTCCAATCTCAACTACCATTCAGCATAATAATTCATTGCATATGTAAATCAGTGTCCCAACAAAATAACTCCACCATCTCCAATTGATTTTTTTGGTTTTTTTTTTGTAATACCCTCATGGAATAAAAATAAATCCATGAATCCCAAGATTCCACCTCTGGTTAATGTGGTTTAAGACATTGTCTATCAAAGACCAAACAGTTATGAGGAAACAGCCAAAACCAACTTTATATTATGACTTTGGCTGCAAGAAAGAAAGTTCTTTATAGGATGAACATGTATCAATACCTGTGTAGGCTTCATGAAACTAACCAGGCCAGATTACATTAATAAAAGGAAATGACAAAACCATGATCATGAACCATGACCTACAGAAGGACTTGACTTTATATTATGCTGAAAATAATGCAAACACACACATGCATTGGAGATGGTCTAGAAACTCCGTTGGGGACCCCTGCTTTGAAATGGCTGAAGGCCCATGCACAAGAAAAAAAAACTACATCATACTGAAATAGAAGCTCCCGTAGTCCTATTAGTTTTGATACTTACCAAAGGAGAAAGTTCTGAAACTCCTCAATATCATGGTCATGATTGACATAAGCAGCTGCTGGACTGAGCACAGGTGTAAACACTGTTCTTATCTGAAATGGAATCTGGGCTGTTCAACATATGGCCCACCAGCCATAAAAGAAAGGACATAAAAA